AATAAGGCTTAAATAAGCGTTTTTTGGTAGATTTAGCATTATTTTGGTTTAAAGCTCTATTTTTTCTAAGGGTCTGCCTAAAATAACACTTGTATAAGCTCCATTTTATGCATATACATTAAATTTAGATGATTATTATAAACCCTTATACCAGATCTCTCTTATTCATCAAACATGATTCTTTGATGAATAAGGCTTATATAATGCTTAAAATTCGAATTTTACTAGTATTTTATCGGCTATGTAGCTTGTATGTGAGTTCCGGGACCAGAATTTCAGTGCTCCCATGGTTCAGTGGGTAGTATGAGGTATATGCTACCTGCAAGGCTCTAGGTTCAACTCCCCCTTTTTCTTTTTTCCACTGTCATGGGCATAACTATTATTATTAAATAATTGTTTTTGTAGCTAATAGTTATCCAATCCAAGAGCTTATTAAGCAATTATACAGGAAATAAGCGTTATCCATCAATAACAATTAAATAACGATTATATCATGATTATTTAAGCCTGTACTAACACTTATTTTGTTCCTCTTTTAGACGTTAATAAGTATATAGTTCTCAAAAATGACGAGACAGCATCCAAAAATCTAAGATTTTCTACATATTTCAGCAACACTCCTTGGTGCATGATAATGTATCAGAACCTATAGAATCTCTAAATCAGCACTTATATGATAAAATAAACCATTCATGGTTTGTCGGCAGTAAAGAATCCCGTGCAGGGGTTGTTAGAATTCGGGTATCCCTAAACTTTCAGACTTGCTACAGCATACACAATTCGAGATTATTGGATCAAAGTCTGGAGATGTGCAATATAGACACTTCATAACCTATGTGATTAATTTCAAGGTCTATTTATTGGTGGTGATGCTAGGGTAGAGCTGCAAAAAAGTCGATATTTTGGTGTCCCGTGATTGTTGAACTGACGCTTGCCCTACCATAGGGTAATGAAACAATTGAGATTTAATTAGACCAGCTTACCCATCTGCGAGCGCGGCCCCTCAGCGTCCACCGTTGCAGCGGGCGAAATAGCGGGCAACGCTCGCTGATAGGCAAGCTCGCTGATGGGCAAGCTGGTCTATAAGCAAGAAATTCTCATAAACAGTAATTTTCAGTGCCAAGTTGCCGAGCCCACAGAGCACCAGATTCTGAGCAGGTCTCCGCCTAACAGGCGATAGATCTCTTTTGGATGGTTTCTTTCTGCGTGTGCAGTAACTGGTGGCGTAAATTAGTGAAATGGGTTTGACGTCTGGCGAGTAAAAATTTAAGGCAACCAGATACATATTTATTTTACGCGCAGGGTCGATTAAAATGTTCTGGACAGCACCAACCAATTGAAGTAGTGCGCAGAAGATACTCAGCAGCACACGAAACTTGGTATTAACCCCGCCAGTTTATCAAATCGATTCGATCTAGCCCTGCTCCCACTGTGACGGTCTGGCGCGCGTGGTGGTACAAATTAAGTATATATATGGTATACTCACCGGGACACCCCCTCACCCGGACAGTTGCCGTAACGAGAAGAAGATCTACCTTATAACTGGCTTCTATACCTCTTGCCAACCAGTCACCACCAACTGTCTGGGTGAGGGGACTTCTATGACGGGGAGATAACATTAACAACTGAATTGATCAAGCCTTCCTGCATGATGTAGTCTCTAGACACCCTCACAATCCACCGGAACACCTGTCGATTGATTGAAACCGGGTTCGAGAGATAAAGTGGGCGATATTTTCTGAGGGGGGGTGGTACGTTCCGGTGTTGGGATTTCTGTATGCATACTCTATGTACCTACATACGTACCTACTAGAGTAGAGCAGTGGTCGAGTATGTAGAGTAGAGTACCTACTCGGGGCAGGTAACTAGAACCTGAACATAAAAACGCGCTAGCAGGGTCAAAGTGGTTGCTACCAGAAAAACGATGTTCAGGTTCTTCATGCCTGCCCCGAGTATATATCTACATGTAATCATGAGTGTCACCCGACAAGATGCTGCCCTTTCAATACACGCCAAGAGCGTAGGCTAAATGTTAAAATCTTTTCGGACCTTTCCCTCCGAATCGCTGTGGCTTTACGCAGTAATCGACTAAACAACTGGCTTCATCTCAGACATTGCACGGTCCCAGCTACTCAACTCTACCTACTCTCCAGTCTCTACTTCCACGTGTATTCTTTGTGGGACGCGCCGAGTGATTTGCTGGCCTGTCTAAAGTACTCGGGTACAGCAATAAGAACCAGAACATTCAAGTGAAGAGACAGGGATTGTTTCTATGGAGTGGCGCCGCTCTGCCATACAAATTACCTCATTAGAGAGTTTAAGCCATCCGAGTTTTTGGCAACAACAAAAAAGATCGTCGGACAAAAAAGATCAGCGATCTAGGGTCAAAGGAGAAACTAACACAAGACTGGCAGTAGTAAGAGCCTCAAAACTACCAGTTTGGAAGTGAGCGACGAGGGTCGATCTTTTTTGCGCTGATCTTTTTTGTTCTTGCTAGAAATCTTTGGTGGCTTAAAGTCTCTATTGCATGTTCTGGTTCTAACCCTCGTACGTACCCGAGTACTCTAGAGTACATACATACCGCTAAATCTCGAGTTATTCGGGGGGTTCCCAAGGCAAAAAGCTGAGGATCTTCACCTTTAGAGGAAGCGATCTTCAAGAAAACAGCCCTCTTTTACAGGATCTAAACTAAATCTAGTTTAGTAGGTGGCCTTGGCAACCCCCCGAATAACTCGAGATTTTGCGGTACTGTACATGTAGTTCTTATTTCGTACATATGCGCGTTGATAGACAATGATATTCTAGAAGCACAGAACCAATTGGATGTGTCACGAGTATTGTCTCCAGTGTAATAGCTACGCCTCCTGTAGCAGATCGAAAAATCCACAATTAATTATTTATCAACTGGCTCCTACCATGGACACTCGCTTCTTACGATCAGCTTAGTTCTCGATTCATACCCTTTCAAAATCACTATGGACCCCTGCAATTGGTTTGTCAATAATTTGGATCTATCCTTTGATAAGAAAGATAACGCAAAAGCCTCACAGGGATAGCTATTAAGTGCACTGAGTATTTGCCCGGCGACTACCCTAACTTAGTGTTAGACTGCTTGCCTGCGCAAAATGCGCATTTGTTTTTCTGCGCTAGTTTCTCATGTGTTATTGGGCAAAAGGAAATCATATCGAGTCGGCTTTATGTCCCACAGCAGCTAAAAGTGCATATTTTGAGACCCCGCATATCATATTCCCCCTCATACTGTTTGGCGCATACGCGATGTTTAGGAAGCCATTGGCAAAATGACTTTCTCGCAGTCGAGTAGTCGCAAAGTATTATGCCGGAGCTTGATATCTCGATCCCTGTCTCGTATGAGATCCTCTGGTTACTTTTTTCATCCCCCGCTGCTATCCCGAATGTTTCCTCATGAATTTTTGCTAACTCGCGTCGAATTTTAATTTCACGCAAACCCAATATTAGTATCCCTTCCACCTCATGAAAATAGGTCTCAGTCTCACAATGATCAAATGCGTAGCCAATAATCTCCAATTCTTAAGAGATGACCTTCTACGCATTGCACAATGTATCTCGGGCGGCCTGTAATTCGATTTGCGGTTGAGTAACCATATTTGTATGCAAATACCGATGTACTTCTCCTTTCTAGGTTTCCCACAAATCTATGTGCGAAGAGACCTATGGCTTTTGGTTGGATCCGTTGTCAGTTATTGTTAGCTAATGGCATAAGGCAAACTCACACAAGCATGCAGCCTTCGTTGTGCTTCTTAGATCCACAGACGCGAGCGGTCAACGATGATAGCTCAGCTATAGATTGAAGCTGGATAGATATATGGTGTGAATCAATTAGAACTCGAAGCAGAGGCCGGCAGTACCGCCCACTCAGATGCATCATAATATTGATCGTCAAGGTTGAGTTCTACCCAAACGAAAAATAAAACCGGCCGGCTATATGGCTCTATTCAGAGTATTGACGAGCTGAGTATTATATTGGCGGTACTAATACGTGCGTTCAATTTTGACTATCTCCCCAAAGATTGGTATTTAGAATCACATTAATCTGCGCATGCGTCTAAAAAGCATCTCACCCTAGCTAGCCAATCTTTCATTGTATACCAGACAAGCCTACTTACACAGTCTGAGATCGCACAAGACAGATATATATCAAACCAACAACTGGTTGAGAATTAGTCAGAGGTCTCTAGGACAGTTAGGTTGCCAAAATCTCATTCATTATAATTACGATAGAAGGTAAGAATTGACCCGGAAATCCAGCTACATGGTATGGACATATAATATGTATCCGAAATCATTGACTGTATGGTACCTACTCGCACGGCCGGGTGGAAACCTGGTAGGTGATTGGTCAGCTAGGAACAAATGAAAGCTTATTCGAGCACTACCTTGCAGTCCAGATGAATCCGCCTTCTTGGGTTCTTTTTTCGTTTTTTTTCTTTTTTTTTGGGCGGGGAGACATACATACCTTCCTCCAACTGGAAAGGAGAGACAAGCGCTCTGTTTTCTTTTTCATGGTAATGGGTCATGTGCAAATAAGGGAAGTGCAAGTACTGTCTACATCACACTCTGGCGAGTCAAGTTCGATCATGCATACTTTGACCTGGGTGTTCTTTTTCGGCCTCGCTGGTTTAAAACGGAAGGCAATCCCCTCACACATCGATAACATTGAAGCTAACCACCTGGACATAGATTGGTTATATATACGGCCGCCGCACTGCTCCCCGGATCCCCCAGATTTCGATGTGTTCGTTTGACTGCAACTCTCTGGGTATATCACTAGCATACTTTGCCTCTTCTTCTAACCCTCTCAAGTAGCCTTATTTTCTGGTACTTCATTTGGTGGGTACGTAATATTGGTTATATTTGATATAATAAATACAAATTCAATAACCATTTACTGATGCTCGCTATAGGAAACATACTCGTGGGCACCATTGCATTTTCTCCTGCGGACATTTTCGTCGACCCCCATGGCACTCCCGGCTCAAAGGGCCATCATGAGCTATGGCTCTATCCTCGGCCTCGTCTTTGCTCTCTTCACGGCGTCCGCTCAAGCCAAGATCATCAACGACTGTCGTCTTATTGACGATGATGGATCGGACGTGGGCGATGTATCCAAGCTCAGCACAGAAAGAATTGAAACCACAGGCTGGGTCGGTGAGCCGGATACGCGAGGCTCCATGACCATCGTCACTACCTGTCTTGTCACATTAGGCCTGTGCGTTTGGACGTCGATACATGTGAATGTTCAGATCAATCAGCTACCCTTCTATCGGCTTAGACATAAGGTGACGACTTCTATCACGGCGCTGCTATTCCCTAACGTTGTGGTGCAAAGAGCCCATGATGAGTGGGCAGAGATGACACGGCTGTATGAGGCTTTGGCAAATATAAAACACATACACGAGGCGACAAAGGCAGCGGTGGCAAAGGAAGCCACCGAGAAATCAGGAAAAGATGCGGTAACCCAGTTAGAACCAGTCCCGGTCGAGGGTCCGTCCCTGTGGATGAGGTTCAAGAGATGCATTGGAATGCTCCCAAAGGATCCAAATGCCAACCCCAACTATCCCTTCAGCAAAGAGGTCTGTTTCTTTGTCGTTATGAACGGTTTCATTAGGAAAGAAGTGAGCGAGGAGAAGGACGAGAAAGGCAATCCCCTGCCCAATATCATCACCCCCGAAGACTTCTTCAACGCCTATGCTAGAAACCCCGAAAAGTTCCCCGAGTTGATCAAGGAGAAGGAGATCCTCGACAAAGGCAACGCAAGTAACATCGCAAAGCTCATTATCCTCGCACAGGTCACCAAACTCGTGTTGCAGATGATTGGCCGAAAGCTCATGGGCCTGTCTGTCGCGGTGCTTGAGCTCCACATATTTGTCCACATCCTCATTGCTGGTCTACTCTACTCGTATTGGTGGTATAAGCAGCTAGACGTTAACGAACCTATGGTACTCAATATTGGGGAGCGGTACTGGGCCCCGGACCGTATGTGGTGTTATTACTCGGACCATGCTCTCCAGGCTACAGGATGGTACCAACGCTTCAAGCAAAGACAGAACTCATTACTACGGTTCGGGATTCAATACCCAGGCAAGGCACCTACAGACGATAAGGTCAAGATCCCGATCACCGCTGCTCATTGGCATCATGCGGTCAAACAGATTGATGCGATGCGTTTCGAAGGTCGGACTGGGGCGCTAAAAACTGCCGACCCCCTTGACCCATCAAATCGCCCCCCGTCCCGAATAAACCATGATCAGGAAACACGGCGGAATGAAGCTACCACCGGAGACGCCCAGCCGGATTCGATCATGACCGCGGAGCTGGCTCGTAGAGGCTCCTCTTCCTCCTCCTCCTCCTCCTCCTCCTCCTCCTCCTCCACCCCAAAGAAACGCGCTCTCGAGAATCGACGTGGCTGTGCAGCTGTCCCCAATACCCTTGATGCAGTGGCCAAGTTTGAAAGAAATAGACGTGCCATGTGGTTCTACATCGTTTACGCAGGCTTACACGCCAGTGTTTGGGGCAGGGAATACTTTCCGACTTATATTGAAAAGTGGGTCTGGCGAGGCGCTTGCATCGGGGTAGCGGGCGTGCCTGTATTGGTTGTCGTGCTTGAATACTTTAAAACTCTGTGGAAGATGAGTCATGATCCAACCCGATATTCACGATATTCAATCAGAATTCTCGATATTAACATTGCGGAGAAGGGCGGAAAGAGCGAAACGGCTGAGCAGAAGGAAGAGAAGAAAGGCAAGGAGAGTATGTTGAGAAGGTTATTCACTCTGAGAGGGCTTCTGGAGTTGGTATATCTCTTTGCATCAGTTGCATTGTTAGCAGAGTCATTTGCCATCCTCCGGCGGGAGGACTACAGGACATATGAGATCAAGTCGTGGACCGCAGAGCTGCCCGGAGGCAGCTAATCGTTTTTTTATGTTTCTATCTTCGCTTACCTTTGGTTTTTCTTCCCTTTTTCATCTAAAATTACCTCGCCGATTGTTATGGTACCGTCGGTAGTGGCTTAATTTCTCTCCTTTGTATTAATGTTATCCCAAGCCAGTACGTACGTTAATGCGGTTAAATCTAATGATCATGAATCTCTCGTTTGGTCAAAGTGTTGGAATCGGTTTCTATTTAACGTGGTGTATAAAAATAATATGGAATAAGATGAGGAATACAATGATAATATTTCTTTACGAGGCGCAATATGTACATACATGTATGTATTCGTAGGGCAGGGCTTCTACTATAGTCAATAATCCGATTCATTACGGCTGTCATCACGTGTGTCTGCAAGTCGGACGGATGCCACAAATTTGTACCATGTACGTCTAGTGTTCTATGCCTACATGTACTTATGTATGTATCCATAGCCACTCTCAAACAAAGAAAACCGAAACAAATTCATACAACTATTCTGATATTCATGTGTTTGTGTGTAATAATAATTGCCAAAAGATTCGATTTCCTGATACTACGCCAACATCCAGTACCAAAGCCCTTGTATTAGCTGATTAGTGTAGGTACAGTAAGAATACATATATATGTGGCCGATACCGATATTAATTTGTGCCTGAGAGCGTTTGCCCGAGGTAGCATAAATGCCAGAAACCTCCGGCTACCCCAGAGTTATTGACCTGTAAAATATATTCTTTGCCGGCAATTAAGAGTAAAATTTAAAATCCAACCTTTACATGCATACTCGAAATATCATAAATATAACCTCCCGACGCTGACGTCTTTCGGGCACTTTGTACTCTCTACCTATCAAATCCTAGCATATATCTAGACATACTAGGACTTTCCCATAGGGTGGGGGGGCAATTGCTCTACCGGCCTTTTAAGTACGCGTAGTACTTCGTTATATTCTTTCTATATACTTGGTACATAATTACGTAGTAGCAAACATCACTTGATCCCTGTATACTACTTGTATGTACATAATCACCGATCTATTCTTCGCCTGTATGATAGTACGGAGGACAGATCTAGCCATATATTAGCAGACTAACACCTTTTGATATATGGTAAATCATATAACACGGGCTCCGTTTTAGAATCCAATATAATAGTGTTCAAGCTACCCTTCCGTCGCTAATTGATCAGGGATTGTCATTTGCTACAATCTTATAATTATGGGCAATTTCTCGCTGCTCTAAATTATACTTCTCTTGCTCCGTATATAAATGGCCTTCACACTGAGGTTGCGGTGGACGCTAGATCAGCATCGGCCTAGTGCGGCACTGTATTCATGGCTCATATATTGAGTAAAGTCCTCATACTATATATATATACATTCAGTCACCACCCAAAACCAAAGACACGGTAATGGATTAGCTTCGCTGACTTGGTGGTATACTCCAAATTAAACCAACTCTCTTCCGTGTCGAGCGGAAAGACACCCGATTACCTTTAGACTTAGCTCTCAATTTATTTTGATTACACTGACAATATTTCTTAATAAAGTCAGTTGGGTGGTAGATGCGGTGGTTGGGTAACTTGGTTCGTAGAAATTGTTCTTCTAATACCACGTTTCCCCGAGATTGTTGATCATGATATCTGGTCATGACGCGCTGTTTCGCTCGTTCCTTGTCTTGCATCAAAATATGTCATACATGCATACAGCTGTTGTTAACTGGCTGTTCTAACCCTGTGGGGATCAATCACTCCTCGCGATCATAAATCAACTAGCCTCATAGTCTATCACTCGGATCTCTTTGTCTCTCTCTCGGATCATGGATTGTCACTCTCGTTCACCGTTCACTATTGGACGATCAGCGTTTCTTCATTTTTGTTTTGAATCGTTTGAGTTATGAAGGTTAGTGAGTATTGGCCATATAGGAAGAGTAACCATGATCAACTCCTTAAACTCAAGAATTATTATCGGATATTCCCAATATATATACTCATGCATCGTTCGCGCAATCTATGATCGGGTAAAGATTCGTCCCTCCTTACATGCACCTGCCATACATACCGACACCGAGGAATTTCTTAAAAATTGGCCATGGTGCTGGGAGAAAGGGTTGAAAATGACGTATGTTCAATCGGATCGATTGTGTCCAAGGACTATATAACTACGCCAGATCGTATAGTATTACCATGGTATACAGAAATATATATCTCCAGGTACTCTGAAATTAAGACATCAAACATTTGAAGCGTCGAGATCGCTTCAGGTACTCATCCGGAAATGTCTTGGTAAATGCACCTGCTACAGCGAGAGGTAGAATTAGAAACATTAAAATAGAACTTTATATAGGCGGGCATAGGTAGGAAAATAGGGGAGGGACAGCTGTGGGTGCGGGCGGGTGACGATTTGTGACCGCACCCGCTAGTAGTTCCTGAAGGCGAACCCTTAGTAGCAGTTCGCACCCTAAGCCCTACCACAAGTTTTATTGATGTTCCTCAGGTGATCACATCTATCTGGGCGTGTGCACGGCTGTGGGCGGTTTTAGTGGTTTTTGGCTGTCGAAAATCCATTGCCTATAGGGCTCGGCGATGAGGGAACTTATATGTATGTAGGTAGTATTTATAATTACATGCATGATATTGGACGCCTTCCCGTAAGTGATAGAACTCGTTCTATTTCCGGATAGACCAATTTTTGAGGTTCTATCGAATAGAACGGGGGGGATCTATTTGTTTATTATAGCCCCCCCCCCTTTTTTTTTTTCCGAGGGAGGGGGGGGGGGGGTTCTATTCGATAGATATATGGCTCAATTCACCATAGGGGGGGTGTCAACTTGAATATTTCTCATTGGCAGAAACCGACTTTTAGCTCGAAAGACGCGTGTTTAGGGTTTTGACCTGAGGCTCTCCCCCCAAAGTTTATTGCCACTCAAGTTGACACACCCACCCCCCTATATGTTGTGAATTGAGCCATACTTCTATCTGTTTTCTATCCGTTGCAATAGAGAGGAAATCTTGCTAGCGCGAAAAATAGTTTTAAAAGATGGTGTCACGATACCCAATTTGTGTTAGGGCCGATTAGATCTTTAGGAATCTATCGTAGCAATCACTTGGATACATGTATGCTTACGTACGTACGGGGACCTGATCTATTCGAAAATTAAACCATCCTCTATTGCTTACGGGAAGGCGTCCATTTTACTCCGGTCCTCAAAGCTTTAGAACGGATTACTCTATATATTAACTACATACCATAAAGAATATGCCAAGTACTTAACGTCATTTTAAATAATATGAAATAGGTATTGCAGTTTAGTCCATTGTAAAGACCTTAGGAACGAGCATTGAGCTACTATGTGCTGTCGTTCACGCGATCTTGACGGACGGGGAGTTTAAACCAATGAGAGAGATCTGAAGAATTTAATCTGTCAACCATTCAATTCATCCCGACTAGTCCACGGCCAGCGGTATAGATGTTAGACTCGTAACTTCCTGACGTTTTTGAACGCGACTGATATTGCATACCATACAAAAATACGCCAAGATCCTGATTTTGGGTGTATGCAATAGTGGCCCAGTCCAAAAACGCTAGGAGACTACGAGTACTCGTATCTTCCTGACGTTTGTAAAAGGAACCACTATTGCATACCATACAAATACGCGCCAAGTCCACAATTTAGTATGGTATGCAATAGCGGTTCCTTTTACAAACGTCAGGAAAATACGAGTACTCTACCTACATGCATCACACCTCATTGACACCTGCACGACCTACATGCACAGCCGACCATTAAGATAGAAATTAATAGACTATATACGTCATAAGTAGGTACCACATATTCCCCACGTACCACCCCGCAGGTCCCACCATGCACAAAGTAGCGGGGTAGCGGTAGCTGGATGATCGAGGTTCTCGTGGGGACAATCCGTAGGTAGTCATAGAAATAGCATAATTATATAATACCCTCTATTAATTCCAACTTTCTCTAGTTTTTCGAGTTTACCGGTCCTGGCGACGCCAAAGACCTCATAATCCTCAGCGAACTACATGTAGTATGCCTAAATCTGCATACGCTATCCTAACATCTTTTCGCCTGATTTGGGGAAATTCGAAAGGAATTTCCACGTCGACCCACACCAATTGAAGTAAGATGTATCACCGAGGAATGTCTGGACTGATATGTGAAGATAAGGATAACCGGCAATACTCATGACATGACGGATAAACTTCCTTCTTTCAGAGTCGCCCAATCATGATCGATCTCCTTCTCCCGGTACGTACCATTAAAGCGAAAGCGTCCAATCATTTTTGAGCTGAAACCCGGGGCTGAAGCCCTTTTGCTGAAACGAAGTTATTTAGGTAGGATTTTCTACATAATCTATTATTAATCTCATGGCGCTGTGTGCAGATATACGCACTCTGAGGATCTTGATCTGAGCTCCGATTCCTCTGCCTTGTGCGGCTGAAATCGTCAATTATAAAACTATGAATTATACCCATGTTTTCATTATATTACTCAAGATTCACTCTAATCACGCTTTTCCAACCACAATCATATCCCACGCCCGGTGACCCGATCGCGAGACCGCGACCAACAATCAAAGTCGCGTCAGTCCTTATAGCAAGTGTCGATAGGTGGATATCCCACCTATATCTATGATGGCGACAAATATTACCTCCGGTGGACGTTTTAAGTATCAATCAATAAAGGGAATGACAGAAGATGGTGGCTTCGTGGATATAAATGAACATCTCCACGAGGAAATATGTCTGTCCCGCTGCCCCTCTCGCCCAGGGCCGGAGTCTCTCCGTGAGAGCTAACACTTGTCTCCTCAGGCTCGCCCAGCAATACTGCCGAAAACTCTCCACAAACGTCTGACTTCAAGCTTCATCCCGCTCCTACAGAGCCGAAAAAGACCGTCCTTTCTTCAAGTCTATATTTCCTCTTGGCATGGCATATTGGTACCGCCATCTCCATCCCGGCGACGGTTTTTGTTCTTTACCTGAACGTATCAGAGTACTCGATTGACCCCCGTCTTGGATTGAACCATGCTGAAACGTCGAATATTATTGCTGGTCTGCAGCTCCTTGCCAAACTTCACGAGCTGATGATCATCACCAGTCTGGTCAATATCACACGGCAGTGGATACAGCGTAGCCTACTTGATAGGAAGGGTACCCCACTGGGATTGGTCGGGGCCGAACTATCGATAATGAATGCCAGGTATCTGATATCGGACGGGTACTGGGCAGCGGTAAAGGCGGTATTTGGTTCTTTCAGTCGAACAAAGGACCCGGAAAGGAAATTACAACGAAGAAACCAGGGGACCATGCTATTTCTACTCGCCTTTCTGCCTGTGGCTTGTTTGTTGTGCTTATTGGTAGGGCCCGCAAGTGCAACCTTGATGATTCCTCGACAATACTGGTTTTTTATGGAGATGCTCGATATCATGAGCTACTCGCCACCAGTCCTAAACTCAAACTATCCCAACATCTTCATCGACTCACGGCTTTCACCACTCGAGAATCATGGAGGAACGGAGAGTATGGGGTATGAGAATTACTGGAGGGCTTTATGGCAAAACACTACCTACTCAGCAGATTTCTTCAATGAGCATGACAAGCTTACCCACCTCGCCCCCAGCTTAGGAGTGGTGGCTATTAATAGCACCACAAGCTGGAGAAGATCGCTGTCAGTTGATGCTGAATGGAAAGGAAAGAGCAATTTCAGAAGCATCATGATTAACAATCTGATGATTTACTATAGCGCTTGGTTTCGCTTTAGGGGACAGAAGCCCAAGGTTCTGCAGAAGTATACTCAGTTCCCAACCCAAGCCACGACAGAGATGACAGGGCTGGAGATGGACATTGTCTGCAGGTTGAGGGCCAAAAAGAGTTGTGTTAATGCCTCTTCTGCAGATGACAAAGAGTGGTGTTATGTTCCTGTTTTCGAGGAACCAATCATGGGGGGACCTCTTCGAAGTAACAGGGACCTCCTGCTGATCTCAGATCATAGGCCGTTCAATTTCCAGCTGGAGAGCAATTACGGAAATCCCCCGGATTACATACTTCCAAAGATGTACATAACCGAGGGCCCCCGTATAGAGGGTAATGAACGATTTACCAACTCCATTGTGTTTGTTTTCGAAGAATATGTGGGATCAAACCTCTTCGTTTGCAGTACCACCAACGCAACACTCAAAGGTGCCACCGTCATTATCTCCGACCTGACAGCGATGCAAAGTCATATAAAAGCAGAGTATCACGAATACATATCTCACTTTAAATTCGATAACGTCACGACCACTCTAGAACCACCACGACCCTTGATCTACCACGAACATTGGCTCGATACCTTACACATGTACGACTACGATAGAGAAAGGGCCGCGCTTGTGGATCTTAAGAACCAATCAGCCGATGGTCTAGAGACACCAGATTACAGCACTCCGCGATTCTCTCGCGGGGAAACGATCAATTCGAAGTTGAAGAACTGGGGGGCTGCTGTTGTACAGTCTGCTACACTTTATGGTGGCCCAATCTGGATGAGCGATAACAATTGGACTCGTCACCTAACTCAAACCGAGGCACCGGAGTTTGCCCCGCTCCCGGAGAGCCCGGTGCTACCGCCTCGGAGCTATATAGAAGCTGGGATAGTCGAGATCGCTCTCGGTGGTTCATGGTTCAATATGCTCCTCGACACAGCGCCAAGCGCATCCCAGTACCAATCTATATACTCCCTCGTGTACATTCCCCCGGCCATCAAAGAGGCTTATCCCGAACCAATACTCAACTATAGTTCATCTTTCTACAGGCCTCTCGCTCTCCACCATTTTGTGTATGGATATCGCCTGTCGAGTCGCACCAGTGTCATTGCAGCCTTTCTTCTATCGCTTCACGCGGTTATTGCTCTCGCCGGATCAATATGGCAGCTGCGACAGAGATGCGTTATTATCTCATGGGGGAGCATTCCCGAGTATGTTACCTTGTGTGTTGGTAGTCTGCCTTTGACTGAGGGAATCAAAAACACCTGTGCGGGTATTCAAAAGGCGGAGACACTACAGCGCAGGATGAGGATTGGAGAAACTGTCAATCAACATTTAGAGATAGCGGTCATGGGAAGCGGCGGGGAATTGAGCATGATCGATGTGGAAAAGAAAAGGAAGTATGGAGACTTGGACTGAGGATCACTAGTACATGAGGTCGAGGGCAAAGCGTGGCAATTTCAGGAAGGTCGATAAGACCTGAATCAAAGTTAGATATTGCGTTCTTTTTTTTTTATTTCTCTCCTTCCTTTATTTTCTCTTCCATTTTCTTCTTCTCCTTTTTTTTTTAAGGGGTGCAATCGGTAATGAGGGAATTAACACATGGATTAACCCAGACAAGTGGGTGGGACTTCGCTACCTTCATAACACGTACAATGATTGATAGGCATATTTGGTGGGGGGTATACTTTTATTTCTAAACCTTTTATTGATGTTGTTTGCCTAAACTCTTTCAGGCGGCGTGATGGGTAGATATTCTCTCTTTGTCGTAATACGCTGTGCTTGGAGGATGGAAGCAAAGTGCTGAATTATATTTGTCACTTCCCAAGAAAAAACAATGATTGTTAATTCTTTATAATTAGGTATATATGACAGATAGAGGCCTAGATACTTGGTATGATAATGGCACCAGTTTTCAGCTCTGGCAAGTTCTAAGCATATCGGCCCATCCACGAAGAGTCCTATTCCTTCCCCAAAGGAGTACCTCACAAACATATCATGTTATTCTGTATGGGCTATTATCATATTCCTTCACATCTCTTTACTAATGTTTCATGTCTTGTATATACATACCACCCATGTTTAAAAATTCCTCCACATTAAATTTAGGTATCAGTTTTCCCATCCCTCTGCTGGCGTGGCGTTCATGTGTGGAGACGCACAATACATAATCGCCGGATCCATGGAGATGCGAAGCGGATTGAGAAGGCAAAACCTAGATTTAAAGAAGGAATATGAGAATCATAATAATAGGTTCATGGCTTTATCGATATATTCCTCCCACCATAATTAAGAATGGCATCAAATCAGACCTTCTTCGCCTCAGGCTGCTAGCTTAGTGCTGCTAGATTACTGGATCCCATGAAACTAGAGTAGAGTATCTCAGATAGAGTACATAGGTACTCTACATAATGTGAGTACCTATACTGTAGTCTGTGCAGCATGAGTACTCCAGAGTACATGTACTCTAGTCTAGAGTAGACTGAGTGTACTCTAGATACTCTACATGTAGGTAGAGACTAGAGTAGCTGAGTAGACCCTACGAGTCTACAATCAAGTACCGACAGTACCGCACACGTGTATCCTCAAGAATTACTCTAGGTACATACATACATACCTACTCTAGTCCAACATACACCAACCACCCCACCCCCCACTCACCTCCCACTTCCCGACACGCTCTGGAGACTTCAGAGACATTGGGTGCCCCACATACTCTAGACATTGTCCACGAGATATTATTATCAAGTATGTGTAAGTATATATAACTGCATAATTACGTATGCACCCAACTGTTTGAACGTCAATTCTGATAAACATCGGCATATAGCCCACGATCGGCGGTCGGCAACGACGAAAATGACCGAACGACAAACAAGGAAACTACAGTCGCAACTCGATATGCCGGAACTCAATGCACCGGGTCCTTTGCCAGTGTCCCGTACGGGGGTCCTCTGAGAAAATTGGCTATCCCGGTATTTTTTGCTATCCCGCACGAAATCCTTAACATCTTGACAATCCGGCATATCGAGTTACGATTATACCTATAACAATCAAATTTTAAATAGTTACGCCCAGACTGATATCTCATGGACTGGCTTGGTTTGACTAGACGGACCCTCATCGTTGTGGACCAATAAGCGGTTTAATATGTACACTAGTGCAGACTCAGCGGTCATAAGTGATCACTCGTCATCATGGACCGAGTGATTATTTATGTCTAATATATAGGTATGGCATCTGACAGATGGATCCACCCAGGCCTCGTCTAGAGCATCTGCTATTGAACTTGTTGAAATAGAGTTTTGGATGGTGGATGTGAGCGTCCATGTGATTTAAATTGAGTCATGGCAATCTTATGTGATAGCTCATCGAAAGGCCATGAGACACAACTGTGCACCTAGGTTACATGCATCTGCAATGTTGTGACTAATCGGCTTATGGGTGTGGCACAACTGTACCTACATGTAGACTCCGACTCCGAGTACTGTCGTTCATGGGCCCGTATTGACGGACACTGGGTATTGACGGACAAGCCAAAAGAGAGACAGCCAAGCCCAGCCCCGCCCCCGACCACCGGCCAAAAATCCCCCGCCCGCCAACACCCAGCATCCGTCAACAAACACACCCCGCCAACACCCAGCATCCGTCAACAAACACACCCCGCTGCGTTTCCTGTCGAAGCTCGTCATTACCACGCATTACCGAGATGAGTGCACCGAGCTGTTGACGTACGGAAAGGCTTTTACACGGCTTGCATCGAAGAGCCTGGGGGTGAGGTTTTTTCGCACGGAAAAAAAAGGGGGGTATAAACTACTCTAGATAGCACGGGCGGGTTTCCTAACAGGGGGTAGATGAGACGAACCGCAGATCCAAGAGATCTCGAGCAGAGCACCGACCCAGATAGGTAGAGTACCATACCAATCCAAGCGCCGTCACGCATGTCTCGCTGCCTCATGCGAGTCACCACATCGGGGTGGCACAAGCGTCCTCTGCCGCAAGCCACACCGCCGCCACGCTTGCAGTTGGGCCCAGCTCTAGCCCAAAGAGGACGTGGAACACCCACACCAGCCCCGATTGGAAATCCCGTCCCAGCAAAGCGACCTGTTAACTTTAATTAGTGCATGCATGTACCTACATGGAGAGTAGCTTCGGGAAGTGTGGGTCCCTTACCCTTTCCTCCCCACTCCCACTCTCTCCCTCTTTGGAAGAGACCCCGCAGCTACATGTATGGTACTCTCCATATGAGAACGTACAATGTCACGTCCGCAAAAAAAAAAGTATAATTCAATCTCTCCAATCCCCTAGTACTCCTCCCACTGAACTAAATATCTTCAACTACCTCCCCCCCTTCCTCACCATACCTCACCTCTCTATCCCCTCCATCCAGCTCATTCAACTCAAGTAATAGCAACACATTCCCCATCAATCACTCAATTCATCAGCCATGTCCAGTAGTGCTCCCGTTGTCAGTGATGAGCAGCAGCCCGCGAGCCCAGCTGCAGACAGCATAGCTCCCGAAATCTCTGTTGCTTCTTCCTATGTTCAGAATGTCCTCTACCACCGCGCATCCCCGTTCTTCCCTAGCTATCGGAGTTTGAACTCGTACTAACTTCACTTTTAGAGTAATACCGATGGGGAAGAGTCGTCCACGTATGGGACCGATAACGAGGCGTACGTTATCGATCCACTCCCCCCCCCCCCCCCCAGATGCACCTGAGTTTACGCTCATTTATCGTAGCATAATTGACTGACCTTCAACAGGAGCTTGTATTCAACGGAATCGCTGAGCTCGTCCATCTATGAGTGCGTACACCCACCACCGATGGTCCTTCCATGTTCATTGGCTGGTGAGCTAATGAGCCTATCTCAGGTACCGGTACGAGAATGGCCGCCGGTATCACGCATACAAAGCAGGGTTTGTGATAGAAACCTCCATCCCTTGACAGGAAAGGGAAGGATAGGATTGCTGATAAATCTCGGGATGATAATAGGAAATACATGCTCCCCAATGACGAGGTATTATGACCCCCCCCCCCCCCCCCCCCAAACCACAATCTTTGAACAATTAGCTTATACATCACAGAGAGAGCAAGACCGGTCCGTTTCCCCCCCCCCCCCCCCCCCACATTGTAAATTCCCATTCAACACTGACCCACTGCAACAGCCTCGACATCATCGCGCACGTCTATAATCTCGTCCACAGCGGCAAGCTCCACCTAGCGCCTATCGACCCCAACCCCCAACATATCCTTGACATTGGTACCGGTACCGGTATCTGGGCCATCGACTGCGCCGAGTATGCATCCGATCTCCACCCATCCTCTTCAAGCCCACGCAAACTGACCCACTGCAAAACAGACAGTACCCCTCCGCCCAAGTCATCGGTACGGATCTCAGCCCGATTCAACCGTCCTGGGTCCCGCCCAATGTAAGCTTCCAGATTGACGATGTGGAGCAGTCATGGACGTTCAACAAGAATCATTTCGACCTGATCCACATCCGCAATCTCATGGGCGGTGTCGGCAACTGGGAGCATGTCATTGATGAGTGTTTTGAGTGAGAACCATCCTCCTCCCCCTTTCCCCTACAAACACAGCACTGATGAGAGGCGAGTGCAGGCACACTAAGCCCGGCGGTTGGGTCCACATCACCGAGTACGAAATGGCCATCTTCAGCGATGACGGCACCGTCACTCCCGACCTACAGTACTTCCAGTTCTACGAGTTTGTAGGTGAAGCTGCCATAAAGACTGGTAACCACCACCACATCATTTCTCTGGCCAGAGCCCCTCTGTACTGACTGCCGCACAGGCCGTGACTACCAGCTCGCGGCCAAGCTCGAGCCCCTCCTGAAACGCAGCGGGTTTACAAACATTGTGCACAAGGAGATCAAAGTCCCCACCGGCATGTGGCCACGCGACAAGAAGCAGAAGGAGATTGGCGCATACCTACTGCTGAGTGTGGAGAGCGGGTTTGAGGCGTTCGGGATGAAGCCATTTACAGAGGTGTTGAACATGACGGAGGATGAGGCAAAACAATTTTGCGAGAAGGTGCTGACCCAGGCAAGGAACAAGTTGATTCACGGCTATTCAATGCAGTAAGTTCTCCCTTCTTTTTTCATTTATTTTCTTCTTTGTTCTTGGGTAGTGAGGCTAATGGGGCGTGTGTAGTCACGTATATTATGCGCAGAAGCCCGAGGAGGACTGTTAGGCCCGAGACACACCTTTAGGACCCAGAAGGGATAGCAGCTAGCCCCTGGCTGGTTGCAGGCAGAAATTTGTATAGGAATTGCCTTGAGCCTCCTCTTCCTCCTTAAATTGGTGCGGATTTGGAGCAAATCGTATATACACACAACACATGCATGTAGTTATTTCTGTTTTGTCATTTAGCTTAGTTTATGATATACGACCAATCAACTTGGATGGCCTGCATGGCGTCGCCCACTTTACGTTATCCGTGGTTAAAAGGCGGGTTGTATACACGACATCAGAAGCTTAATCATGAACAATCACTCGGTCACTGCTTCCCATACTTATCACTCTATGACATCGCATCTTACCTCCTGCCAACATGCAAGGCACAGATGCGGGGGGGGATTTATATGCCTAGCCTAGCACCATGGCTATCATTACACTCATTACGCGACGGAACAAAGTATGGGAGGAAGCTTGCACAGCCTCGTGCCCTGGCAGTGGTGATATACGTGATATATGGTGGTGTGGAACGCATACAATGTGCGTCATTAAGGAAACAGATGTATACCCGTATATATACGTAGCTAGCGAGCATGCGCACATAAGGCAACCCCATGGCTTACCCCGGCTTCAGCCATGATCGAGCAACCTGAAAACAAGCAGGTTTACCAATGCACTTTATTCACCGAGCACGAACCAAGAATATTTCTATGCAGAAATTCAGCAAATGTGATGCGGGGGCATTTTGGCTACTGTTGGTGAAAAAACCGACGCAATAAACCGGATTATTGTTTAATTTCCTTGGACTCGGATTCCGACTTGCTCGAACGCAGCTTTAGTCAGCAGTGGCTTGCGGAATTGATTCAATGGTCAGTGCACTTCTGAAACCCAAATACATGGTATTTCGTGTATACAGAGAACGCAGGGTATTAATTATCTGCCTGGTTGGTTGCGTGGGCCTGTATGTATTTAAAACTAGATACACTTGGGCTTTCAAACCTTTAATCGGTCATTTCCACTCATCAGGTAACTTATGGCAGCCAGGGGAAAGGACAGAAACTTTGATCTTAAAATAGAGAGTAATCCATGAACGTGAATGATAGGTGTATACAAGTTCGGAAGGCAGAGAAAAGAGTATGTGGTGCTGAGATCTAGTTGGTAGTCAAGGGCATTGTACAAGGGTAAAATGAGAGTACGCGATGACAGGTCTATATACACTTATAATCAAACTAAATGAAGGAGGGCAAGTAGGTGTAAATCAATGGCAAGTCGATAATCAAAGTAGATAGATGGAGTAAATAAACAGGAAGGAAACCCAACGTCAGGCAGTAGGTCTAGGGGTATGAGTACAATGAGGAAAGACAGTAGGAAACCGTAATCAAAGACGAGGCGTCTCCCTCACAATTCGTTAATACTCTCCTGAATCCTTGAGATTCTGTGTCTGAGTTTATTCGAATCTAGTGTGTAGCCTCTCTCAGCGGCTAGTTGTGTTGCCGTTTTACCTTCACCGTTCTCCCAAGTCGTCTCGGCACCGAGGGATATCAGTGCATCAATCAATTCTTTGCACTCCCGTTCCACTCCGGAACTAAGCAGAAGATGAAGAGCAGTATTTCCCTGATCATCCGTCGCGTTAACGTCCGCGCCATCAATGAATGTCAACTTCTCGTACATCCATAAAACATTTGACTGTATGGCGAGCATCAGTGGCGTCCGTCCTTCGCTGTCCCTTGAGTCAATTATGGCTCCGTAGTCCATGAGCAGCCTGACAACGTCAGTGGACACCACACGGGCAATTGCGCAAATGTGAAGTGCTGATCGTCCCGCGAGATCCTTTTCTTCAACGCTTGCGCCGCGGTCTAATAGGAGTTTGACGACATGCGAACTACCGCACTCTGCAGCTCGGAGAAGTGCTGTTCGTCCTGAAAGATCTTTTTCGTCAACGCTCGCGCCGCGTTCCAACAGGACCTTGACTATGTCTGAATGATGGGTCTCCGCAGCGAGGAGAAGTGCTGATCGCCCTGATTTGTCCAAGGATTTTATGTTTGCTCCGCGGTCTAGGAGCAGGCGTAAGGTGCGGGTTCGACCCGCTACCGTTGTATGCATAAGCGGGGTCCAGCCGTGAAGATCCTTCGACTCGATATTGGCCCCGTTGTCTAGAAGCAGTTTCACAATATCATTCCACCCTTCAATGCAAGCAATGTATAATGAGAACTTCGAGAATGTGTCTGAGACTTCGCCGTCCGCGTTCTTATCGAACAGTGACTCCACCACATGTTCTTTTGAGCGGGAATCATGAAACTTCGTTAAAACGGCATCCAAAGTCTTCATGTCCACTTGTCCATCCAGTGTTTTATCGGCGTCAAAAGGACCATTGATGACAGCTTCAAGGATCGTTTCCTTTAAAAATTGGTGTCTCTCGTTTTGTCTATCTCTGTTACGATAGGCAGAGAGACGCTGGAGAGGAGAAGGAGGGGTGAGTGTGGTGTACCGCTGGGAGTTATAGACGTATTTGAGCGATATGTCTAAACGGTAGACCGCGATGTTGGATACCTCAGAAAGACTGATACCAGAGAGTACAGAACATCCTCGAGGCATTGCCTGGCCAAAACTCGATGCTTTTTGATTATTGCGATGTAGGCGATGGTATAATCGTGATCGGGACAGAGTATGTTCAAAACTTGCCAGTGACACTATGGACATGACACTCCGAACGCTCCCGGTTACGCTAGCCGTGTCTGAGAAGGATAACTGATCAGAGCTCGAGGCTACTTTCTGTAGCCTTTGGAGCATCTTTGTGTTGGTTGTATATAGCTCTTCTGTAGTTCTTTGCAGCTTTTTCATGTTTTCAACTGCCTGTGAGTGCAAGTCGCTAATCAAGGCACGAGATGTATTAGCACGGAGGTAATAATCTCACAATATTGAGCATTGGGGAATATGCACTCAATTGCCCCCCCCCCCCCCCCCCGGGCCACCACTTGATCTATAGAAGGAGTGTCAACACCTCCTATGTATGTGGCCTCCAGCTGCACACCGGAACGAGCAGGTGACGAGTAGCAACATGTTTCTGTGTTTGGATGGATGAACTTACCATGTAAACATAACAAGCATCATGCTAAGGCATGACTTCTGACTTTTAAGCTGCTTCAATAGCGCGCGTAGATTCGATTTTGTTGACCGTGACATCACCCATCTTAAAGTGGTATATTTGGGTGAGCTTGCAAATCGATCGAGCTCTCTCTCGAGCTCCGAGAAGGTCATCACGGAGCTAATCAGGATGGTAATCACTTGGTCAAGGTCTATCATTGAGGCATGGGGAAGGTCGCGTGTCGATGAATGGAGGATGAAGTTTTGTAGACGAAGCATTATCATCCGGAAGAGATCAACCTCATTGGCAATGGTTCGAGTGAGTTCCTCAGCATCATCCAAGCCTTCCAGAAACTTGATGATCTTTGCACCAGCAGCAAGTAGGCCGACAATTGATGCTGTGACTGAAAGAGGATCCATAATTCCTCTCAGGAGAAAATTGATAGGGTCTTAGCTGGTTTGATTTCCTCGTTTGGGCAGATATCGTTGCCGTCTGTAGGGGCCAGCACGAGCTTAAAGCTAGCTGGTTGTTGGTTGTGGTGTGGTAAGCTTGTGTGTTCTGAGCAATGGCGATCGATGGGACGCTAGGTGAGGAGAGTAAGTTGAAAAAGAAGGCGAAAGAAAGGGAAACGGAATCTCTTCTTAATCCCCTTGTTGATTACCCCGCGCTTGCACAGCATGTTCTAGTAAATGATTGATCTACAAGGCTTGCACAACCCCCTATTTGACGTATTTGACGTATTTGACGTCTGACGCCGGAGCGGGACACGTAAAGGACACAGCCACTCTTCAAAACTTCGTGATTCCTAATCTGGAACATGCATATTTAAGATTGTTCTTCTAATCAATCGTTAGTAGAGGGCTGAACATCACTGAATAATAAACACGCACGTACATACCCAGATCTAGATACATATATCAATACCAAATACATATAGTAGACATTACAGATATATGTACTTTACAAAAAGGTTAAATTGAAAGTCAATACTTGTAGACCAAATAGTGAACCCTGACCTATATAACCCCAATATCTCGTACCGCATTAATTCGAATGAGCGGCCGGTCACACAAGACGTTGAAATTCCCATGTTTGGTCATTTGTCTTGAATACGCCCCCTAATCTTCCCTCATATTATCTTGAAAAGGCAACTTCGACATTATGTGTGACCGGCCGCTCATTCGAATTAATGCGGTATCAGATCCCTGTTATTACAGCTGCATGTGAAAATTCAAAAGCTCGCGTGGCGGATTTCTCCATACTAGAGGCACAACCCAAGATTTAAAGCTAATTTTTGGCATTGCTAATCTTAAGGTCTAGAGTATGTATATGTACTACTATTGGGATCTCTTTAACATCTCGATGCGAGTTATTTTGTAGGCTCTTCACAATAGAGCGATTTGGCCAACGACTTCTGAACCTAAATATTTAGTTCTTGGTGACAGTTTTTGGTGTGAAAATCCCGCCAAGACCTCAAAATTTGAGCTCAAAATTTGAAAATCAGGGATTGGCCAAATCGCTCTAATAGGAGAGATGAGCTTAATCAGAACAAGTCCGGTCCCTAATAATATATAGACGCCTTCCCGGGGGCCATTTGAACACCCCCCCTCACTCGAACAGTTAACGCAAAAAAGAAAGGATCTGCGCTGTAACCGGTTTCTCCATCAATAATCATCAACTGTTCGAGTGAGGGGGGTTATTCGAGTAGCCCGGGAAGGCGTCTACTATCTACGCCAATAATACACTATCGTGTAGGAGGTTGATATATGAGTGGAGATAACGCTCATTTCTACGGTCATCTGTCTGTTTTCCAATTATTAAATCTGCGTTCTGTAAAGTTCAACCCATCCGGCCATCATACAGTATTTTGCCATTTAATCAATATTGTAATTGCCAAAACGTGGGTGTAGTATAGTAATCAGTGATAATCTAGCAAGAACTGCAAGCGAAGCTTCTTCCAACGTATGCCAAGGAAAGCTTGAGACCAGTATCCCTTGGATGGATGAAATTTGACAAATTCACGACCTGGTCTGTACCATCCCTGCAATGCAACCTCAGGTCTACGGGCTCAGCACCTCTTGAGAGCTCAATAACTAACAGAATCACTACAGACGACTGGGACGGACATTTGCAATGACAAGGAAAAATACCCGGAAACCTTTGAGAGAGCTGCCTCAAGCACCTAGTAGCACAGCCAGAGGACGCCGAGCGAAAACTACAAATGGCTTAGACAATAGGCCTGGTAAAGGACCCGTGATAGATCAACAACAATCCAGCAGGGAAAATGAATCTGGGCAGCGATCCAATCCAGAGAACGAATACCACCCTATGCTGAGGGCATATCATGATGCAGGAGCTCTACTGCCTGATGAGAATCAGGTGAAGGTAATAATCCAACCCAAGGTTGATAATTAGCTGTCAATGGTACTAACAATTTGTAACAGGGGTCCTTTCTAAGAGAAATAGAATCGGATAGAATAGAGACGGCCGTGCAAGATAGACAATCAGGTTGCAGATTATTCAAAGATACTATCGCTAGAACTCAATAATCTTTAAGGGCTCTGCTACCGATAAGAACTTGATATTTCTTTTTGATGAAGACTCGAGAGAATCGGACTGAAGGGCGGGAATGAACCTGAGTACTTATACTCCGAAGGCCTCTATTCTCTGCTCCTAACTCCTTACTAAGTTTCCGGTGAAGCCTTTCCTCGGTGCCGGAAACAATACCACCGCTACCCCGCTTTTCTCTAAGCGTCAGCAGGTGTTTCCGATACCCAAGGCAACCACCCTTAGTCAAAGCCTTTGTAACACCTGCAGCCTGGATTGTCACACAACCGAGGGCCTGCATGAATGAGCTGCCACTCAGATGTAAGCTTAATCATTGCTGTAGAGCTTTCGCTTATTGTAGACTTCCCTAGCATAGTCCCTGCCCCTTCGGCGGACATACAATGCTCAGAGGACACAGAGGATCACCGGGCAATCAGAGCTTCACTCTGGCCGGTCTTCTAGTCACTGGCGAGGCATAGACTCGTCAGTCATTGCTCCCATGAATAGATCCCCTTCCTAGCGCCCGGAATGTAGTTACTCAAACAGCTGGTAGCTAACCACACTGCCGGTACTTGCATCTCACCGTGCAACTGGCTTCTAACAATAACTCTCAGCATGTAACCGGGCCCTGTGTGTACTCATACACCAGACAGTTGAAATGGCTCCGTTACACCATTAGTAACAGACAACACCCTTGAGTATTTTCGAGCTGTTTTGGATGGAGGAGATACTCCAATTAATAGCGGAGAATACAAATGCATATGCGAGACTGCAAAGGACTGCAAAAAATAGCAATACTAGTAGTGGATTTGTTGGGAGGAAGTGGAAGCCAACTACAGCAAGAGAATTGCAATTGTTTCTTGCACTTCTGATAGCAATGAGCATTTTCCGATGCAAATCACCCTCAGATCTTTGGAGAAGACGCCGCTCAGGAGGTATTCAAATACATTTAGCTGGGTTCAACAAATCAGTATCTAAAGTCATGTCGAATAATCGGTTTTTCCAAATAAAGCGGTATCTCCATATTTCAGCACCCGATACCCCAAATGAGAATTGGTGGGAAAAGCTTGAACCCTTGAACAGCTAACTGCGTGACAGTTGTATGAGATATTATATGCCTTCTACTTCCGTCAATGTCGATGAGATGATGGTACAGTTTGGTGGAAAAACCAAACATACGGTACGAATGCCAAATAAACCGATTACGGAAGGGTACAAAGTGTTTGCAATCTGTGATCATGGTTATACACTCAATTGGAGGTTTCACTCAAGGCTAAAGGGTATTGGAGAGTTGTCATCAACTTATCGAGAGGCTGTTGGCATCTCAGCTCCCAGTGTAGCTGTCGACTACCAATTAGCTGAACAATCTCTCCCTTATCGAACACATAACTTTCTTGTGTACATGGACAATCTTTTCAGTACAGTAGAGCTCTATATTAAGCTTCGTCGCTTGAGTATTGGTGCATGTGGTACTGCACGTATACAGAATGGTCGGTTTCCCGAAGAACACAATAATACATCAAAAGATATACCATGGAATACGGTATCAGGAGGCGCTGTTTCTGGAAGTAATGGATTAGTTTTGGCTATGCAATGGCAAGACAATAGTCATGTGCATTTGCTATCCACTATCCACGATCTTTTTGAAAGGGTAATACGTTTGAGAAAACGTTCAAGAAAAATTAGTACAAGTGGTTCTTTAATCAGACTTGCATTCGGAGACAATCACACAATGAATACACCTATTCCTGCTCTTGTCGATGACTACAACTTTCACAAAGGTGGTGTGGATATTGCTGATCAATATCGGAGCTATTTCTTCACACAATTGATAACGAGACGGAATTGGTTCCCTTTGTTCTTCTTTTTACTTGACATCATTATTGTCAACTCATTTATCCTATACGGCCTATCAAAATTCGATCCGAAATGCTCTCCAAACCAAGAGCGGACCTTCATATCACACAAAGATTTTCTGCTTTTTTTGGCTTCAGAATTATTACAACGATATACTAGTACCTCAAAGCCAATAAGAAAGCGCCAATACTTAAGGAAAACATCAAGCATACGATACAGCAAAGTCCATGGTGTAACTAGCCTACCTCCTCCAGTTGAGGGTGTCTCCCATGCTCAGATACGTCTTAAAAAGAGAAGAGAATGTGAGCATTGCCGCTTCAGATTGAGAAGAGATGGTTTGAAAGGACAGCGGGCCCCTACTTCCTATTCTTCCTGTGGACCCTGTAACATTGTATTATGTCGTACCTGCTTTGTAGAATATCACTCGCTATGATAATACTTTTCACCTGTCAGCCCTCAGCCTGAGGCTTTGAGCACTTGATATCACATGATTTCGCAACTGGGATTACTATTGGTCAGAACCGCTCATGCAGGTGGGTCGCGAATTTGTCAAATTTCATCCGTCCAAGGGATACAGTCTCACCCCCATATATCAGTAATCAAGGTATTCCCGCCCCTCTTGAATCTTGATACACCCTGATGGCTTTTGCCAGTCCATACTCTAAGTGGGTTTGGCGTCTTCAGTACATTTTGCACATTTAAGGCTGGTTGGAAAACCATAACAGGTATTCAAGTACAGAAATTCCCGAACCTGCAGCTGGCCGTCATTGAAGCCGCGAAACAGAAACGGATTGTAGGCATCAAGACAAGAAAACGAACCTGAGGCTCACGTTATCCAATCACTGGCAGCTGTTCATTGTTGTATGTGGTAAGCGCTACTTCAGATAGGCAGCCTAACCGATGCGCCTTTTCCTAATGAACGACTACAGCTGGATCCCCACATGACGAGGTTCGTAACCCCCCTTTGTGAATTGTACATATCTACGTACGGTGAGTACTTATCTACAGGCAGAAGTTTCCTCTTTCCCATCTGGCTGGGATTATCATGAAGTCGGAGTTGGATGTCCTGTCCTGCCCACTCCAACCGGCTTTCTGTTTCACAGGTCGTAGCTTGGTCTGTAACTTGTGCATGTGCATTTAAAAGCTTCTGATTGGCTCATTGAGAGAGGTTTTGTTTCACTTGAAACATGTTGCTGGATACATATGAGCATATATAGGGTATTGTGCTGAGTGTTGTTAGATTGTTAATACATAGGTTTTCTACTGGTTCTGGGAATCGATTAGTAGTTCGATTTTAGCGGCTTGGTGTCTGTTAAAGGGATATGTACTTACAGCTTGAACTGGAGAAATTGTCTGACCTGTCCACTGATATATGGAGGATATCAGAAAAGGCACATATCGACCGGTAGAGCAGATATAGTGATGAACTTTGCCTGCCAGGAGGAGTCGAGGGCCGCGCAGCGGCCTGAGAGCCCCGACTGCCAGGCAAACAGAGAAAATAAGCCGCAAAGCGGCTTGCCTGTATATCGGACTGATTGATATACATGTAGTACCGGCCGAAGGCCGGAAATCACTTGTAATATATATATCGCTAGGGTTTCCCTGCACACATGCACACTCTAGGCTTCGAGAAGCCTTGTTGAATTCAACTGCCTTGATCCTCCCTTTTTACTCGCGAATACGGTTCGTTAATAAAGCTGAGGACTCCGCCGATATCTAATCTCTGGGGTAAGTAAAGAGACGTAGATAGACCTTGAGTTGACCCGGTGTTTCCACCTCTATCTCGTCGTCTATATAACTCTGGTTTCATAGTCAATTACCGACCGCAATCCTATCACAGTCATGGGCCAACTGATTAAGAATTTTCTGGCATAGACTCCCCAATAAAGCTCAGTGCACCCCGCTGTCTTAGCCACCGTTAAAGCCCCAGCAGACACAAAATCTCTCGCGGCCTCCCGACGCCTTCACGGCCCTCGATCAGAGATCTTTCAACGTTTCAAATTGATCCTGCCCCCGAAGTCCTGGTGGTGTGTGCATCTCCGAGGTCCTTGTCAGCAGCGTCAGAACCTCCGTTGATATTGCAATTGGGAAGGTGACATTGTTTCTGCGCGCTGCCTAGCCATGGAGGTGTTCGTACCTCCTGTCCTTGAATGAAGTGACACTACCTTGAGAGGTTAGCAAAGATAACTGTGAGGCTTAGCATTTATGAGGAGCTCGAGGTAGTGGATGGTTGTATCTAAACCCCCAATATATAATGAATATCTCCTCAAGCCCGCTACTACTGGTGCACCGGTCAAGTTGCAGCAGCAGTCCCCAATTAACCATACATACACTGTCAATGTGTCGAGAATCGATCAAGAGTACTTTGTACGCACTTCATTATAGCAATCATAACCCCCACCGAATCGAATGTGGTTTGGAACATGAGGATTGAGGTACGTTAATCAAGCTGCAAGATTGTGACCCATGCATGGAATATCTATATAGAACGCGGAGTAAATCAGTTCTGCTCATACAATGCAATGTGGAAGAACATTCTCTAGCTGACGTTCGGCGGATCCCCCCCTACATGTAGTTTGTCAGCTAGTGCTTTAGTGGCAATTAGGATACATACAGCCCCCTAGACCATGTAGTCCTCAAGCTTAACTAGCAACCTAGGCTCGTCCCCAACCCCCCTGCTTCCATCCTTCCAGCGGAGGCACAGCTTGCTGCTAAGTATAAGGGGATGGGTACGAGACTACCAGCAACCCTAAGATCTGAAGAATCCTCCGTAGTCTGGCGTGAGTCTAGAACAAATTTACATGTAGGTACATACATGTTTGATAAGTGCAATTTCATAGCCTTAGCGCTGCATGCATACAATCCCTCCAGCTCTATTAATGTATTCGAGCGCAAAACTCAAATTAAAAGACTCCAGGTCCAAGTTGATACATTGGTATACCTCAATTATACAGACTAAAAGACGAATCCACTACTAGTAACTGGTGCTACTCTCACGACCGATAAAGCCAAACTCACGAAAGAATCCCATCACCCAACACACACCTCTAGCTACACTCCACAAAAAAATGAAAGAAAAAACAACTACGTACATATATTGCATCATGAACTATCACTCACCACCCACCCACATGACCCACGAGACGTAACAAGTCAGCCCGCGCCCCCAACTCAAACTGACCCCAGTACTAGACTTAGAAGCCTCGAGTTTTTCACAGGCCCTATTGCCGCCTACGTATTATAAATACCAAGAAATATTCAAATGTTGAACATAACCCTAACCCTGATGGCTATGTTTGCGCTTGGTTTTTTTTTTCGTTTTTTTCGTTTGGTTGGGTCGTATCATGGCCATGGTACCGCGCAAGTACATTACCAAAAGGCTCGAGAGATACTTGAGTTTTGAGGGTTGAGTCGAGCCCAGCATATGAATCGAGCTTTCCCTCTTGCTCGACTGGCAGTACCATCTGGTTATCATAGTAGACATCGAACCTATCAATACTGGAATTGATGGAAAAACAGAAACGCGCAGCTGTAAAGTGTGCGAGTAAGATCAGTGATATTGAGATTTCGGAATCACGACGTCTTCCCACCCCTAGCATATCAGGATACAAGACGATCGATGGCAGCAATTAATTTGATGATACGAACTTTTCTAGGTAAGTGCGCGAGAAAGTTTAAAGATCATCAATTCAAATCTCATCACTCTCTGCGGAGGTCTGCGTACCGATTTCAACGATAAGATCTAGATATCACGTTGTCACCCACATCGCTCAACAGCCAGCCACTCCCGGGGGGCGTATATAATATTTTAGGTATAACAAACAACACAGACTCCACCTCTCTCCCACCCTTCCTCTCCTCCACCCTTCCCTCTCCACCCTCCACCTTCCACCCTCTACTCCACGCCCATCAAAACAGTGCCCCCCCATCTAAACATTCGCCGTCGAGCCATTATAATAATGAATCTACGCCGCGCACATACACACCCGTCAGCACCACACTCACTCACACCCACATTCACCCACACCCCACCGCCCAGCGCCAACAACCCGCACAACCACTCACCGTCTGATCCGCGCACCCCGCCGGCGTCATATACGCATACGCGCCCAAGTTGATATACACCCTCTGCTCCTCACACACCAGAAACGCGGCATTATTCTGCCTGGTGATTCCCGGCGTTGACCACGTCGTCGTATCGCCTTTTTTTTCCCACGCAAAAGACACACACACAGACACACACAATCAGCCCGCGGACCACGGACAGATCACAGACAGCAAAGTAGACAGCAGTGGCGGTAGTGACAAACCTGAGAACGCCCACGTGCCATACGTGTCCGGCGCGGTCCCCCACGTGACGAGGAGCTTGGTGACGGAGGTGTCGGTCTGCGGCGTGACGTGCGCGTACAGGAGGGTGCCGGCGGTGTCGATGAGCTGCACGAGCTGGCCGTTGACGATGTTGAACTGGCCGGCGGTGGAGGCGTCCTCGAGGACGGCATCAGATGCAGTACCTGGCGGTGTGTCAGTACTGGTGCCTTTTGGCTTCAGGGCAAGGACTGGGCAGGTGGATATGTGTGGGTGGCTCTAAGTGGATTCCGTACGAAGGGTGGAGGATTGCAAGTACTTGTGAAAGTTTGGGTCCACAACGGCGCGGATCCAGTAGTAGTTTGGCAGGAGGGTGGCGCCGGGGCCTGTTCCGGTGGCGCTGGCAATGACGCTGGTGCCGGCGGAGGTGGTGATGGTGGTCGGGGTGCCGGTGGTGGTGGTGGAGGCCTTTGTGGTGGTGGTGGACGAGCTGGTGGCCGCGGAGGTGGTGCCTGAGGCGCTGCCGGGGAGGCACTGGGAGTAGTAGTCGTTGAGCTTCTCGCAGTGGTATCCGCTCACGCAGGCGGTGGGGCCGGAGAAGTTGACTCCTGACGATACATGTATTGTCAGTACGGTTGAGTAGGGTATAAGAGAAGAGTGATATATCGTGACCAACTAACCTCCGCACTGCTGGTAGCCAGCAGCAGTCTGTGCAGAAACACTGCCGATAATTGCCAAAGCAACAAAAGTCAACGGGGCCAACATGTTGGGTTAGTTAGTACGGTGCAGAAGGGTCAATCCGATATTCAGAACCAGCTCGAAGATGATATATCTCAACAATCAACGTTCCCCCCCCAAGAGTTCCCAAGCACCCTTTATATATCCCCACCAGCCCCATACAGCAATTTGAAGCCCCACGAGCATTCCAACTAGGGAAGCTAGTAGGTACTGAATATCCGTAATGCCCCTCCTCCTCCTCTCCATCCTAGGCCTATAGCAAGTATCCAGCTCGAACCAACGGCCGGAGACTACCCCCCCCCCCCCCCCCCTTCCCCACTTTCATAAGTAGCTCAGCCCGAGATATCGATCGGCGGACGGCCATCACCGGTTTCATGACTCGCAGCGAGTGTAGTGCAGTCCAGCGCCGCAGTCCCAGTCCAGTATAGTATAGTGCAGCGCGAAAAGCAAAGCAAAGAAAGAAAAAAAAGAATAATGAAAAAAAAAGGCTCCGCAAATTTCATCTAAACACGCACGGATGATCCCCAGCACATTGAGCTTATTTTCGCACTGCAGGGGACGCCGCTGCTGTCTGCTTCTTAATTCTCTGGCGGATAAATCCAGGTCCCCTGTCCGCTCCCGCCGGGCCTTGGTTCCGATAGTTGCGAGTGTCTGTATATTGTCCCCTTTTCCTTAATATGGCTAAATTAAGCGGAGAATCAACGTTTTTCCGCAACCGACCGTTTAGCAGAGGGGAGAAGCAGTAGCTGGAGGTGTGGTATAGCTGTGATATAGGTATAGTATAGGTATGGCCGGGGTGGGGGAGTGAGGGCTTGACGGTCCGGGGAATTGAGTGGGTGCTGTCACGGATTAATGAGGGAGTGTCTATATTATTACGGCCCTATATATATCTTGCAGTACTGGTATCCCCCTAATTATATGCGCATGGCTGGGTGTTCGCAATTGAGTGTTCGCCCGGTCACTGGTCTTGATGATTGGATCAGTGCTGGATTAGTGGTACTCGGGCCTGGAGAGCCATCCCTGCAGAGCCAGGCCAGAGGAGGGCAGGGTTAGGTGTAGTCAGTACTGGAGTACTATGGTGGGCGACACGATATCGGGGTCGGTCTTGGCACATGTAAAAATCTCCATCAGGTAAATCATCACCTATTTAGTAGTGAAACAAGTGTTTTTGAGCTCACAGATGGCAGATCATAGCCGTTTTTGGTAATAAACCGAGTGCTTTATGGTGATTGACAGGGGTATTTTACTGGATTTCGATCCGGCCTTAATAATTTGTATGGGTAAAAAATTGACCTGCCTCCCTACCAAAATCACCCAACTTCAAACTCTATCTCCTCAACCACAACACAAGATAATTAAAATCAAAGGCCGTAGAATGATTCTGCTCTTGATTCTCTATCATTCTACGGCTTCTAATCAAGAATATATTGTGTTGTTGTTGAGGAGATAGATTTGGCGTTCATATACTCTTACCGGCCCCGATATCGTGTCACCCACCATAGCACTAGCAAATAATTGAGACATGAATTATCCTCAAACTCTTACGTTGCCATTCACATGGTGGTACTCCAAGTTGCAAGACGAGACGAACTACAGCGTGGTCCCCCAAGTTGCAAGATGAGACGAACTGCAGCGTGGTCCCCCAAGTTGCAAGACGAGACGAGCTGCAGCGTGGTCCCCCAAGCCCTGTCGGCACATGCTGAGAGTTATTCCGAAAAACTCTATGAGCATATATCAAACGATACTATAATGCCAACACGAGGCCTTCTCATGATATAGCCATTTATGGCACCCTGACCGTTTAACTCACCCAGAACTGGTGCGCGCACCGGATCAACTGTAGAGTGCGAGAAAAAAGTGGGTGGTGGGGTAACTTTAACTGCTAGTTCAATCTGCCCCCCATAATAACAATCCTCCAAATACAGAATTGCCCTCCAGAATGCCTGGCCATTCCTCCTAGGCCCTGCAGAGACCTGTGCACAACTACAATAGCAAAAAAGGGCACGGATTCGCTACGTTATTCCCGTTAATGCGCTAGTAATGTAACAAGAATACGGCATTGCTACGCTACTCTGCTCGTAATGCCGTATTATTCACTCAATCCCGTAGCCATACAGTGCTGATTTCACCAAACTAAACGCGGGGTGCCTGTGCTCTCCCCAAGCTGGTTCGTGATACGATGCAGTGGCACTCGATCCAGAGCTCCTCCTCCGCTTCACACAAACCCGCTCATCATGAAGAGCCACAGACCGATCACAGGCCCCGATTCCATTTTACCGGTCTTTAGAAACAAGATGATGGGGTAGAGCGCAAGTGCACAAGTCAGCGTGGGGGGAGGGCTGGTTGGGACATGAGATATCATTCGGTCGTGGTGCCTGTCCATGTCGTCTGGTTCACTGCTTCGGGCGTTTGACTGAACCATTCTGTCTGGACTTGCGCAATCTGTCAGCAATATCTCGATCCAGCATTCCCCGGCCAGCGGAACAAGAGACGTATGACCTCGAGTTCAATTATGATTAATCTGGAAAGGCCACATCCTATCCCGAGTGAACCCTCGCACGCCATCCACAGAACAGCAGCACCGCCAGCACCACCACCAGCACCACCACCACCACCACCACCGCTCCCCCACATCACTTCTCTGCCTCTCTCGGCTCCCCCACGCTCTCTCTTCCTCCCGGCTCCCCCCACGCCCAAACACCAAAACCCGAAGATCTCCCCTGACCCTACCGCCAAGCCACACCCGTGGCTGCGGGATGTCCGCGCCACGCACGTAGCGTTGTCTCTCGCTAGTTGCAGTTGTGTAATTCCTCTCTGCAGCTCTCCCAGAGAGATGTTGCTGCGTGCCCGCACACAAACACCGCAATTGCTAGCGATACATACCGACCGATGGCCTCTCGTCTTTTGTCGCGCAGTGTCGCCCGCACCGCAGCCCAGCTGAGATTGACCTCCGCGCCCCCGCACACATGTACACCGCTGCTAAGATCTTATCGCCCGAGATCTAGAAACCTAACCCTGGGATCCGGAGCGGATAGATACCAGCACTCACGGGGCTATGCCGCTGCCACTTCGCAGGCGGCGGAGGTGGAAGACGAAGCTGTCGAGCAGCTGTCGGAGGTGCTTCGATTCCCCCTCCCCCTCTCCAGCTTCCAATTGGATCGAATTGACCCGTGTGTGTGTGGGTGCGGTGCAGTACCCCACGACCTCCCCCGCCGCGCGCAAAATCCTCCACGACGCATGGGGCTACACGTCCTTCCGCGCCGAGCAGGAAGCCGTGATCGCGCGGCTGCTGCACGGCGGCAGCGCGGTGGCCGTGTTCCCGACGGGCGCGGGGAAGAGTCTGCTGTACCAGGTTGCGGCGCTGGGGTTTGGGGGTGGCGTCACGGTGGTGGTGAGCCCGTTGATTGCGCTGATCAAGGTATGTCTCTGGGGTTGGCGATGCCGGGGGGCGATGCCGGGGGCGGGGGCGGGGACTGACGGCGGGTGTAGGACCAGGTGCAGGATCTGAAGAAGAGGGGGATCGACGCGGCGGCGGTGGACAGCACGATGGAGCGGGATGAGGTGCGCGCTGTGTTTGAGCGCGTGATGAACGACGAGGTGCGATTGCTGTATGTTTCTCTACTCTTCTTCTTCTTCTTCACCGATATCACTCGGCCGTGGGGTTCATAGCTATCACTCGGTCACGGGGAAAAAGTGGGGGCTAATTGTAGATACGGCAGCTATGTCTCCCCCGAGCGCCTCAACAACGACGCCTTCGTACAGCTGCTCAGCAAGACTACCGTCCGCCTCATCGCGGTCGACGAGGCCCACTGTGTTTACGAGTGGGGGAACTCGTTCCGGCCGGACTATCTCCGAGGTTCGTAGTTTTGCAGCCTGATGTTGTTTGTGCGTGGTGGGCTAATGGGTGGTAATGATCGATTGCAGTGGCCAGGTTCGTCAAGGAGATCAAGGCAGAGAGGGTGCTCTGCGTTACTGCTACCGTGAGTGCCTCCGTGGGATTGCCGGCTATAGCCACCGATGCATCACTCTCCCCACCGCCGGGGGGGGGGGGGGGGGGCGATCGAGAGGGTGGCAATGAGCGGTGTACTGACTGGTTGTTCATATCAAGGCTACGCCGGAAATCACAGAGAGCATCTCGACGGCGTTTGGGATTCCCCGTGACGGGGTGTTTCGGACGAGCACTTACCGCCCAAAGTAACCTCTCATCCTCACCATTGTCTGGTCCCTGGCATATCGATCCATTTCTGACATCACTTCTAGCCTAACACTGCTCTCCAAGTCCTTCAAGAAGGACTTGGAGAGGCTCGACTATCTCGTCGACTTCCTGAACGCGAACCCCGGCGCAACGATCATCTACACCCTGAAGCGCTCTGTCAGTCCCGCAGCCCAAGTTTCGAATTCAATGCCGATCACTAACAATTGACACCAGACAGCTGTAATCGTCGCAGGCCTTCTCGAGGCCGCCGGTATCGAGGCCTTCCCCTACCACGCCGGCATCGACAAAGCCACCCGCAGCGCCACCCAGGACCGCTTCATGAACTCCGATAAGCTCACTGTACGTGTCCCCCGCCCGTAGCATAGCATATCAATGATATAAAGGGCTGGTTCCAATTGACCCCGCGCAGATCGTCGCCACAATCGCATTCGGCCTCGGCATCAACAAGCCCAATATCAGAAACATCATCCACTACGGCCCCCCGCTCTCCATCGAGAACTATGCGTACCTCCCCCCTCCCTCTCCTCCCTCTCCTCCCTCACATCTACTCAACTAACACCCTCACAGCCAAGAAATCGGCCGCGCCGGCCGCGACGGCCGCCCCAGCACATGCCTCATCCTCACCGCCCCCACCGACACCCGCACCCACAACTTCCTCACCGTCAACCCCCTCCTCGCGCCGCGCAAAAGCGCCATCCGCCGCCTCCTCCGCCACGCCTTCCTCACCCAACCCCCCGCACCCCCAGGCACCACCATCACACTCCCGCTGCACGCGCTCGCACGCGTCCTCGTCACGCCGACCCGGAAGCGCAAGAAGCAGAAGCAGGAGGAGGAGAAAGAGAAGCCGAAGCCGCCGCCCCTCCCACAGGTCATCCGCGACAAAGAGGACGCAACGGCGGCCGTCATGGCGCTGCTCATGAAGGTCGAGATGGAGTGCGGCGTGGTGAAGGCGCTGCCAACGGCGTATGGCGTGGTTACGTATCGCGGGCTATCACGTCTGCAGAAGCTTGACGACGAGATGGCAACGGCGGTTGCGGAGGCGTCAACGCGCAGCGAGACCACGAGCGACGAGGAGGGGGGCGAAGGTGAAGGGCTGTGGAGCTTCGACATGCGGCGGGTATCCGAGAGGGTGCGCGCGGGGCGGGAAACGCTGCTGCGGCGGCTGCATGAGTGGGAGCACGAGGGCGTGGTGGAGATCGATATTCTTGGTGTCGCGGCGCGGTACGAAGTTCTGTCTGCGCTGCCAGGGACGGAGGAGGCGGTTGAGGAGGTGGTGGAGCGGGTGCGTAGCGTTGTGAAGATGCATGAGAAGCGGAGTGTGGAGAGGCGGAAGATGGTGTTGGAGCTCGTGGCGGGGAGGGAGTGCTTTGTGGGGGTGCTGGCGGGGCATTTTGGGGATGGGGAGGTGGTGAGGAGGAGGAGGGGGTGTGGGCATTGTCAGTGGTGCTTGGATAGGGCGGAGAGGAGGAAGGTGGAGAAGAAGGAGAGGGGGGGGAAGAAGGAGGGGTGGTGGAAGAAGAAGAGGGGGGGGGGCTAGAGCACGGTCAAAATAGAGAGATTGGTCAGCTAGGAAGTAGTCAATAATACGGCCTTGGTCTTAATTTCTACTCTCGTGATGTATACTAGGTTTTCTGCTCTTCTTTGTATTATAGTTGTAAATATCTACATAGCCTGTTTGCTTGCTGGTTTTGGGTTTTTTCAATGAGGTATCAATGACCAGCACTACATGTAGTGATAGGCACGAAACAAAATGTCTCGAGACTTTGTTTTTCTAGACAACACGAGGCAAGACGAGACTAGGGGATAGGTAAGACACTTTGTCTCGAGAATCTTTTGAGGAGGTCTCGAGACATTGAGGGGATGTTCGAAAATGGAGTGTTTCGTAGTCAGCAGATATTCACAAACCCTAACCCTGAATTTGATAGGATTCAAGCCCAATCACAATATTGGACCAAGTGATTGATGGTCTCAAGACTTTGCGCAATACCTTACACGAGTCTCTTCAGTAACAAGACCCTGGCTCTCCTGACCCAAGGCGAGATGAAATCAGGCCAAGTCTCGTCTTATTTCGTCTTTTGCGCATCACCAATTACCAGTACAGGCCTCCCAACAGCCCCGGAACTAATATGTGGTCAATTTCTTAATAGCCAAATCGAGCGGAAGAGGAAGTGGAGAACTGAGTAAACCAAGAGAGCTGAGGTCGATGGGGTGGGGAGGTCTGGGAGAGGGGTGAGGAGGGTAGCTGGACAAATTGCATTATGAAGTTTGGTGGAAGTTTTTGTTGTTATGCCATTACTTTGCTTTCCATTTTGTTTTTTTTCTATTTTCTTATTTCTTACTAATACTATCATCATAGCCTCGGGGCTGTAACAATAAATGAACTATCAATCAATCAATCAGGCGGGTACCAATGATCGCTGTGTGGGGAGTGGATCCGGGTGATAATTTGTGACCAAGGGGCAGTGCAAAAGCAGCGGGGGGTTGTTAGTCCAGCATCTTGGCTTTGATAGCTAGAGGGTTCGTCTTACATACCGGTATTGGCACAGTGACCAGGTGTTGTGCCATCTGTCCTCTAGACGTTTATGGCTGCTCCCACTCCTGGACCTACATGTACGTTTGCCTAATCCATCACTGCTCTGTGCGTAGACGCACATACAAGTTTCTTCACCACCATCACATTCCTTTCGAGCCGAATCAAGGCTTCCCTACAAACAAATTAATGCTATCACCACTAGTGCATGGTACGGGAAAGGGGGGGAATCAATTACGTAGGTATTCCAGATGTAAATCTTGGAGCAAACCTAAATCTCTGAACCGTACGACCACTTGAACCACTACTGACTGTGTGCTATGGGGCACCGCAGCTGTCTGTTACTCCACAGTCAAACGGTGTTTTGTCCTCTCATGCAGAGATTACCGTCTATCTACTCTGCACACACACACCACGTGCACGAATATATCGAGTCCAAGGACCACGCCGTCATGGGCCATTTCGACTCTCAAGGCAAATTCCTTGTAAGCCACGGTGCATCGACCCCCCCACTCTATCACCAGAATTCAAATACCAAGACGTGACAAGTAATAAAAGCCTCTATTAGTGTGCACCCCGAAAAGGGATCGGGAGATAACTAGTGAGCCCGCCAAGAACCTTATCCCCCTTGCATCAACGGCCTGTTCCCTAGCCATCTCCGAACAAACTCCGAATATCGGGGTAAAGACAAGCTTTATAGTGGTTCTTGGGCAATTTGGCTCCCGTGGAGCTTAGAAGAAACTTACTCGACTGGGGATAGGAGCTGTTGATTGTCCGACGACAAGTCGATAACTTCATGTCAATGATTCCCACGACATGGAAACAAAAACAAGGTATGTGAATATTACCAGCTACGGACTCCACATACCTAATCGATTGCGCGATATCGACTCACCGCCCAACAAGCCACTCGCAACCCAACCTCCCCCCCCCCCCTCTCCTCCCATTCCACCCCTCCTCCTCCCCAGACCTACTAACCTTTCTCCCAGTATGCAAGCCACACACGTAACTCTCATTTGTCCAAACGCCCCAATCACGTGCATTGTTCGCTTATTTACCTTGGCGATTAGCAGCGATCAATTTCAGCCCTTCACAAAGTGACAGATGTAGAATACCAAGATATCTTGGTACTGCAACTGCACGCTATGGAAACTTTACTCTGGCTGGTGAGGCATGACAGCAAAGCAAAGCAAGAGAGAAAGGCTGAAGCTGAATTCAGAGCCCGTGGCATTGTCCTCCATTAGGTATTGTGATCGTTGGTATTTGCACCTAGTTGGCACCTGCCAAGCGTGACCCAGGAATCGCCGCCGACAAGAATAGAAACGGTTATCTTAGTAGGATAATACCGCCAAAATTCGAAAAATTGGCTATCTCCGTCCAGGGATTACCACTTGAGTGATTGGTTGAATGGCATCGATCTGCACCAGAAGTTTCCCGTACAAGTAATTTTGATCTAGCCAATTTTTCGAGTTATGGCGGTAGCGGAAACGATAATCGGAACTCTGATTTGTTTACGCAGGATTCAGCGACTACGTGCAAAGTGCAAAAAAAAAAATATCCGAAAAGGGGAGCGCTTATCCCGTGTCTAAGCTTGCGACCTCGCCATATGACGGCCATCTTGTTCCGATCTGATCTTCAGGGGCGGAATTGAGAAGGAAAGAAAGAAAAGGAAGAGAGAGTGCAAAAATTAATGCCTGTCTGTTTGAATGTGGTGCTGGATTTGCAAATCGAGACAGACAGAGTCACAGAATGTTCTTCTTTGGGCAGGCCGGGGTGGAGGGTTGGGTGGGTGCTTTAGGTTGAGAATTCCACCGCTGAGAGGCTCAGTAAAGGTGCATTGCATATTGCACTTTGTTCTCCGTCTGGCTGGCTCTATCGCGCATGCATTCACCCAGTTGGCTCCGTCTGTCTGACGGTAAGTACTCTACGAGTTTACCTACTCTAGAGTAGCTAGGTACAGTGCTACAAAATGATTCACCCTACGTAGAGTATCTACAGGGCTCTCTCTGCTCTACATCTAAAGCGGGTAGACTACTACATTCCTACGGCATGCTCCTGAGTACTTACTCGATTCCTTTCGGAAGAGGTCGGCCAACATAAAAAAGTCAAATGTAGTTGCACCCAATCGATTCTCTCCGCCGAGAGCGCCGAGACAGCATCCCGGCCCCCCTGAAAGAAGGCGAACCGTCACTAAATATAACAACCAATTTTTTTTCCCTCTCTCTCATTGACGCGGAACTGGAGTAGGTATTTTTCCTTCTGGACTCTCGCTGACCCGGCCGTCTGCAAGGTTTTGTTTGAACAGCCGCTTCTGCGAATCAGGATATTCAAGACATTGATCCGTAGGAGTTTGAGTACTCGCAATTGGGGGGTGGATTCACAATACCTACTCCACTGACCCGAACTAATCCCAACCTAATCTTGGTGCATCCATCTGAACTGTGTTGCCCTCCTGCTGTGCTGTCTCTGTTCTGTGCTTTTTCTCTATTCTTCTTTTTTCTTTTTGTCTCTCTCGTTCTATATTTCCTCTTCTATAATAGACTTGGCCTTGGTATTCTACAAGTCCCACCATATAAACCCCCCCCCCCATCGGTCCTCCTCCCCCACAATATTCTCCATCACACAGTTCAATCTTCACTAATATAATCACCTTAATCTAATACTCACTCACGTACACCCTCGTTCAAAATGCACCTTTCCACCCTCCTCCTAACACTCGCTCCGGTCCTCGCGCTGGCAACTCCCACGTTCCAGAACCTCCAGAGTCGCGGTAGCAGCGATGCCACCTGCGGAAACGTCCATGCTGGCGTCAACAAGGGCCAGACCTGTAATTCAGGCAGTGCCGGTGGTTCTTGCTGCTCTCAGAATGGGTAAGAAAAACCTGGCAGATCACCATACAACATACAGCAAAATACTCATAATTCAATAACAGATGGTGCGGCGATACCCCGGCATACTGCGGTGCTGGCTGCCAACCTCAGTTCGGTGTAAGTACTCAATCATATTATATATCTTTACCAATAAAGGCGCATTGCTAACCATTCTATAGCGCTGCGATGCCCCCAACGCTGGTACTTCCGGTGGCAGTACGCCAAGCACTGGAAGACCAAAGACCAGCAACGTCCTCTACGGTATGTTTCCCAATTCCACCTCATACATAATTGTAAACTTACTAATTTCCCTAGGTGGCGGTGGTGTCTATCGTTGTGCAAACCCTGGGACGGTTGCCTTGACGTTTGACGACGGGCCGTATCTGTAAGCCCTCTTCAAGCAACATCCCAACCCTAACCCTTGCTAACAATCATCCGTTAAATGCAGATACACCAACAGTCTCCTCGACACTTTGGCAAATGCTGGCGCAAAGGCGACTTTCTTTGTCACGTAAGCAAATGTTTCTCTTTTTACTGGTTTGAATTGATACTGAGAGAGGTAAATAGCGGAAGCAACCTCGACAAAGGTAACATCGACGACCCGTCAAAGGGATGGGACAAAGTGATCCAGCGCATGTACAACAACGGGCATCAGATCGCCTCACACACCTGGTCTCACCAGGATCTCTCTGCTATCTCTGAGGAGGCACGCAGAAACGAGATGTACCGCCTTGAAGCCGCGCTTGTCACCATCATTGGCCGCTTCCCTACATACATGAGGCCTCCGTACTCTTCATGCAATGGCGCTTGCCAGGCAACGCTGGCCGACCTTGGATACCATATCATCTATTTCGACCTCGATACCGACGACTACAACCAGCTTGGTAACATCCAAAACAGCAAGGATAACGTCGACAGAGCGATGGCAGGAACGAGCCCGAATTCCAAGAGCTTTTTGAGTATTGCGCATGATATCCACTCGCAGACGAGCTTGGATCTGGCGCCGTATATGATTAGGAGATTTGCAGAAGCCGGATACAGGAGTAAGTTTTTTCCAATTCCTCTGCTGGCTCTGTGGGTTGGGGGGGGGCATTGGCTAACAGGTGTGATAATTAGTGGTGACGCTTGGTGAGTGCTTGGGTGACCCGGCAGGTAACTGGTACAGGTCATAAATGACTCCATTTCTGGGTACTATGGCGTTTTTCTTTTGTCTTTTTTTTTTCCTTGTTTTGTTTTCTTGATTATTGGTTAATGGGCTGGGTTGGTTTGATGAATTCGGGGAGGAGGCGGGTATGGGCGGGCGGATATCTCCACCATGATGATATTGGCGGAGCAAAAAAAAAGAAACTAAATGTTACGTTTGTCTGTCTGCTTAATTTTAATAGCGTACCACGAAAATGAAAAAAAAGGAAAGAAATATCTTCAAAGTAGGTAGATACACACGAACAATTAAATTTTTAGAAAGAGAAATAATGCATACCACGATTTCATGAAAGCTATTTCGACACCACCATCCATCCAGGTGATTGGCTCGCCTACGTGCTCCGCGCCGCCCCCAACCCAAGATCTCTCCCGCTGCCCATGAATCCCAGCCAGCGCCAATCAATACCGATTTCCCCTTTAACACGCAAGAGCGTCACGCAAAGTGCACATATTGTTCCGTCCCCGGGAGAGGGCCCGAGCTCGCGGACACATCCCCTTCTTGTCGACGAAGAAAAAAGTGCAAATACCAAAACACGCCCATAGGGTAGGGTAGTGCAAGTTTCTGACTGGAGCGAACCTAAATTACGAGTGACGATCCGATTCACTGCAGGCTGAGATGATGATAAAAAAAAGGAAAGCATCGTGTTGTACACCCGCAGGAAAAAAAGTGAGGAAACAATGAGTAGCGTGACAACGAGTGCGTCTAACTCGACATCCCCACACCCGCAATACAGCCTCACGAGTATTCCCTAGCCATGCCTTTTGACAAGTCCGGAAAGTGAAGAGAGGCTACTCTTAATGAAAACATAAAAGTTATTGAAGCCCAAGCTAGGGAAGAGTGGGAAAGGCTAGATTGGGAAAATGTATATAAAATCATTGACAGCATACCAAAGAGAATTGCAGCAGTAGTAAAGAACAAGGGAAGTCATAAAAAGTGGTATATATAGTTCAGAGGCCGTAGTATCTATTCTGTATCTCATTGTGTAGTCATATTACTTCTATTCGTTTCCATTTTCACTTTTTCATCAGGGTTCTGATTGGTTGCACTCGTTGTTTCCTCACTTTTTTTCCTGCGGGTGTACAAGATAAACGCCTTGTGTTCGTCCGGAGTACTTAGGTAGAGAACAAGAAGTATGTTTGTTGAATGTCTACCTAGGTTGACTGAAATTTAATTTTCAGCGTGAAGTATGATGTAGTGTATGCATGTCATATATGTAGGTTTAATTCTGCCTAGAAACACAACACATGAAGTATGTATGTAGAGCACTCTACTTAGTGAGGTCTACATACATACATGTACAACGCCTGACAGATTGAATACGGACTTGGCCCCGAGGATGCTGAAATATCCATGAGTAAGTACATACAGTATGTAATGTCGAGCAGTCTACCTACATAGCAAGAATGTAGAGCATGTGCTTGACTCTCTCCATGATCTCTAGGCCCTCTCTTTCTCTCTTTCTATCTCTCCCCCACGAGCCCCGGCATGACCCGTGATTGGAAGTGATAACCAATTGGGCGCGTGGTCCCAGTTTCAAGATTTGATTCGTGACGACGTGACGTGACCTGGGCGAGACATGCACTTCCGAGTTTGTGCTTCCAGACAGGATGGAACACTCCACGCGGTTCGGGCCCAATGATGTACCATGTAGGTCGGTGAATTGTGGGCAGATCAGGGGCAGGCTACTAGAGCAGGTAGGTACCTGCCCTGTGGTTCATGGGGCCATGCTTCACATTTCGCTGTCAGTGTCTCTAGTGACGATGGCAGAGGAATACTCTAGAGCGTGTAGGTATGTATTCTCCCTACAGCTAGTGGTGGTGTCTCGAGTGAGGGAGAATAGTAATAACCCGGTCCGAGAGTAGCAACATTCTCGGCATACACAGAACCGGCTAGCCGCGAGACACTGGACCAATCATAGTATTGCACTTATTTAATATTTTTCACAACACAACACATAATTTACAGAGATGTCTATCACTTCTACAACACTTGCTCGTTCGTTCGTGTCATCATCCCAGCAGTCCTTAGATGAGCTCCGGCGCCAACCACCTCTTCGGCTTTGTCTCGTAAATCTTCGGCTTTGGCAACGCTGCCGGGTTAGGGAAGGGGTGCTTTCCGCCAACCTCCGTCACCAACAACGCGGCGGTATCGTGAGCCGCGAGCTTGACATCAAGCTTCTTGGAGAAGCTTCCGAGTTTCTTGTGTGTCCACATGTCAGTGACCTCGTACTTCTTTCCCGCCTTGAGGCCGGGAATCTCGCCCCAGACCGCACTCTTGGTCACGGTCTTGTTAAGCGTGTTCATCATGAAGACGTGGATTCCGCGCTCGGAGCCACCGCTATAGAACTCGGCGGGATGGGTCTGGTTCCAGGTCCAGGCGGGGTTGATCCCCCATTTGTAGGGGAGGGCGGGAGCGCCCCAGGTGGGGTCTTGGTTGAAGGCAAGGATCTCCCAGTTCTTGAGAACCGCGAGGTCTTCTTCGGGGATTACATCGAGCTGGTGGTGTAGTGTTAGCTTAGGGGGTTTTATGGGGGAGGGAGAGAGCTTACGGGTGTGCCGATGAGGAGGGGCGACTTGAGGGCAGCCCAGATGCCGAAGTGAGTTCGTGTCTCCTCGGCCGTCAGGTTACCGTTCCCAACTTCTAGCATGTCGAGATCATTGTGTCCCCAGAAGTTGCTCCACTCCAAGAAGAAGATACCATGATTGATAATTGGCACTATCAACGTCTACAGTCAGTTTCAAGCCTCGCAATTTGCAAGGGTTTTGAATCGAGAAACTTACTAAAACCCCATGAATAATCATCCTTCCCCTCCCAGATGGGGACAATGTCACCCCACATGCGCCAGCTCTGCCCCGTCTGGTTGCCCCACTGCTCAACGTGCGAGTGTCCCCAGTTGCAAAGTGAGTACAGCAGTGTACGCGACTGCGCCAGAAGCGCATCACGCATACGATTGTAGCGCAGCGCCGTCTTCGAGGTCGACCAGTCGTAGCCGGCCGGGGCGGGGGTACCACCGACCTGGTCCTCGTGGTCACCGTACCAGTACTCGGGCCAGTATTGGTATTCGTCTGTCCAGTTTGTGGGGACATTGCAGTTGTCATATTTCAAGTCTGCTCTCATCAGCGCTACTCCCACACCATAAGGATATAGGCAACGTACAGTCAACACCCCACTCATCCCATGTCTCCGCATCAATCTCCTCGTAGCCAAGGGATCCGGGATATCCGGCGCAGGTGAGGTCTCCGGCATCAGAGTAGATTCCAATCTTGAGGCCGAGAGCGTGGACTTTGTCCGCGGTTCCGCTGATGCCGTCGGGGAACTTTTCAAGGTCGGGCTGAATGCGCTTTGTGGCATTGTCACGGGACATGAGCGACCAGCAGTCATCAATGTTAATGTACTCGTAACCGGCATCCTTGAGACCCAGGTCTATGATCTCCTGCGCCGCGATCTATATACGTGGGAATTGATGTGTTAGCTATAGAAGGAGAATGGACGGATGTAGGGGTGGCGTACGAGGAACTTGTCTTCGTGGATGTCGCAGCGGAATGCGTTCCATGAGTTGAAGCCCAACGCGGGGAGCTTCCCGGTCTTTCCATCTTTTGCGACGAGGGCGGCGGCAGTGAGGACATGCGCCGTGAGGGCGAGGAGGGTTCTGGATCTCATGGTGGAAGAACGCATTCTGCTGTACTGACTGACTGCTGAGTGGTGAGGACAGAACAAAAAGTTGCTTCCAATGGAGCGAGAGAGATCAAGCTCTTTATACCATCATACCATCCTCAAAACCCAGGTTTAGCTTAAATTTGGGGGCTAAATCAGCGGACGAAGACGGAAAAATGCGGTAGTTTGCTGGGATATTGTTTGTGCCTATGGAAGCAGCAGGTCTTTGCCATGGAACCTGCAGAGTTTATTCTACCGTCGATAGATCTGGCAATGATATGATGGCCCGTTTACCCCGCGCATATATGCGGATCTGGGGCGTTGTAGAGTACTATTAAGGCAGGTACCGAGAGATAATTCCGGGGTAGCATTATATTACCCCTTGAAGTAGTTAGATAATTCCTTTATGCCAGTGGACCGGGGTGTAAAAGAACGCAATTAACTTTGTAATCAATCGATTTCAACATTGGCACAGACCCAATTGCCAATTGAGAGAGAGAGCTAGAACTCGCGTAGCTGATGTGTATGTGGGGAGAGACAAGGAGATTAGTTGAGGATCAACGTGAGAGTAGCCCGTTCGAATGGCGGCTATTGTATTGTTGTACCTTGGTGGCTCCGACTTGGCGTCTAGGGGCCGTAAATGAATCCACTATCGTATATAGAGTGGAGCACATATATGTACTCAATTGACGGGGGATATACTAGCGCTTGGCAGCTAAGGTGTTGCGGCTATTTGGGCGATTATGGTGCGTGTTATGGAATAGTAGTTGTGGCGCCTTTCTCTGCACGGTGTGGCTATTTGATATGAGTATTACGTCTTGCAACTCTGTGAATCTGTAAAGCCTCAATGATAATCCCCATGATAATCACAGCCTGGCAGTGTTGCATAGCAGCATGTTAAAATCGATCAACTTACAGAACAAACAGCAAAGCTCAGGCAGTTAAAGATAAACGCGCGGTGGGCACTCACCTAATATAAATTACACCTCTGTTCCCTGTACTTCGCACTTTCTGTACTTTACTTTATTCTCTTGCCTGATTATCCATATAAAGCCAAGAACAGCACTTGCATCACTATATTACCATCGGTCAGTCCATTCGGAGAATTAATCAAGACGAATGCGCGTGTAGAACTATTCTACCTCTAAATTAATATATCGAACGTCTGCCTAACTTTCTTTGGTATTTGCTCATCATACGCACCCCCTATCATCGATGGAATGTATCCCCCTGGCTCCACAATAGAGTAAAGCGCATGGCTACTAACCCAAACCCTAACCTGATCTTGATTATCCATCGGATAAACAAGCAGCCGCCACTGGGTCAACCATGTGCGGATTCCTGTGTACTACCAGCCCATTCTGTGGCCACTACAACGCCATTCTGTATCGGAGTAAATGGATCTCACGCTTGTCCACGGAAAGGACGAGTGATATATGTATGTCTCGGGTCCCCGCATTTCTCCACAGAGAGCTATTTTCTAGTGTCAAACGACCTGTCTTGAAAAAACTCGGCAATTCTTCGGTGATAACTCGGTGGTGGAGTAGGTAGATAACAATCAGGTGGAGATAGCCGCTGCCGTACGGTCCGATCAAAAATTGTGAGCTGAGACTACTCTAGGTGGATGGTACTGAGAAAGGCTTAGTTCTCGACCGATGATAGCTGATCGTTCGAAAGAAGTGCACTACATGTAAGTGGATAGCTAGCTCAATTGAATGCTTAATTCTTGATTCCATCTCAAGGCAGAATCCAATAACCGTAACCGTTGAACGAGACGCACCCTAGCTAGCCATGCATTCACGCCGGCTCTAAAGCAACTCAATCACAAGGACTCTTTAATACTGTCCCGATGTTGTATCATAAACCGTGTTCTAGGACGAAAGCTCATCTTATGGCCCTTAAGACGTGAAATGGTTGGTGTTCTGATCCTATTTGCACAAGAACCCGTAGTTAAATCAGGATCGAGATGGTGTACGGTTTGAGAAGGGTATGCACTTCGTTCTCCTGTTTACCCGTAGACAAGCTAGGCGTCGAAACAAGCTTCAACCCTCAGTTCGTGGCCGGTTTAGACACATTTCCTAGGCCGTGTGGCGCTCACTAGCGGCCATTTTGGAAGAAACCCTAACCCATCACGACTGTGGTAAGGTTTACGATGGCCAGGGAGATGATTGATGTATTAGAAAGACTAGGAGAGATTCCGGTTTTTGTAAATCTCACTTATAATTTAATTTCATGAAGGGATATCTCACGATGATATATACAATATCAACACCACAGTTTGGGTCTGGGAACAAGGTTACCTAGAGATATTTATGTACATACATCTAGCTAGGACGTACACACCGTATCACTTTACAACAGGAACGTCTCCCTGCACCAGTTCATGATCAATCCTACATGTAGTATTGAACTTACATCTAGTCTTTCTTTGGTGCATGTGGAGGCCGGAGCCAGCAAAACGTCCTCCAGATCCCCCAGATCCAAAGTTTACAGCACGGGAACTAACCATCATCTCTGCATGCTACACACAGCTGAAAAAAGCTTATTTCAACCACCTCTAAGTCAACAACTGGTCCTCTCGGCCACGATACATCCAACACCCATTTACGCGGATCACCCCCAGGATCAGACGAAAGTGCAGGAATTCATTTCTCTGCTAGAAACCACACATCGCCAATCACCGGCAGCCACAAGGCTTACAACTCAGCTACTGGTATTTATAGAAGATATGTACACCTAGATAGACAAAGTCCCAATTCCCATCCCGCAATATCTATTCTCGATCCTCCCTCCCACATACATGTGCATTCGGCCTCGCTTCGATGCACACCCGCGTGCGCTTGAGCACTGGGAGAAGAGATGCGGGAGCGGAGGCGAGGTGAAGTAGCCTTGATTCTGGCTTCACTTCAGGTGAGGTAGCAACGACGAGTACCTACATGTACTTCGGAGGTGTTACTTGTCACGGCTCGGAGCTTTTGTGTGTACTCCAGATACATGTGGGTACATGTTCATTCGGAGAGTTTGCGAAAGTGCACATTCCCTAGGCAATGTGACTGGAGTCACGGTCACAGTGCTTGTTGGGAAGCGGACGGCGGCCGTCTTGCTGCAGCGGCGCAGGCGAATCATAGAATGTGCACTTTTCTCATTGGCTTTGGTTTGGCATTTAGGTCTTGGATTAGTCACTACGGGCCGTGATCTGATTAGATTAGCTGACCTTCATATTTAGAGAAGAGCCACGCATGAAACCTGCATAACTCCAATACTCTACAAAAAGCACGAGGAGTGTGGCCGACCGCCATGGAGTGCAGTCGTTAGGCCGGTTTGAGCAAGCGAGACTCACCTGCAAGTGATATATTCATGTACTGTCACTCGACTCTCGGCGGCGAATAGGCAGGCAACGCGTGAATTAGCAGACCAGGGATACCTACTACCTGGTGTAGCAACCAACTTGTTGACCAATCAACTTTCCAGAGCTGAATAAGCTACCTCTTGAATAAGTTGATGACTTGTTATTTGATAAGTGAGACCTTTTATTTAACACTAGCCTGTTGGAGGCGATTGGACGACGGCTTAAAAAAAGCTAGCTGAAGTGAAGTTTTATTTCAGTCAATCTGTTGGCCACTTCACCCGAGAAATAAGCCAAATAAACTGGTTGGTCAAGTTTGGCGGCTCGTACTTTTAAATAGATCAATCTTGCCAAGAGAATATGACAATAAGTCGTTCCCACCAAAATTCAATAGGTAACCCCGTTACAAACGGACCCCAAGAAACAGTAGATAGTAGCTTACTAAAGCTGGTGCGGGGATGTTTAGTATCTGCCGTTCTAGCCTGTCAGTAATTACGATAGTTAAGATCTGATGTTCAAGAGTGTCGCTATCCCTAGGCCCTCCGTCTGGCGAAAGATGCTGCCAATTCAATTTCGGTGCCAAGATTGTAGCTTTTGCTCGCGCACTCGATTCAATTAATCGATCGCACACCTAAATTGTGGCATTCGAGTATAGGTGGGAAGCATCGCCGGACGAAGGGATAACCTGGTAGGGGTATAGATGTTGCTAACTGTGAGTCGTGTCCAGTTGATATCGATATCCATCTAGCCAACATGTGCAATAGAATAGTTCCATCGCTAAGATAGCAGAAACTATCACAAGTATTATTTTGGGAATACCGTACACGTAGAGTTATCCATTCATATTGTTATTGATATCGATATCATACATGTCTTCCTTATCCAGTCCCTGGATGAACGCCAACTAGGCTTTGCTTCTGGATGGGATGTCTAAGTGGAATGATATTTATCACGCAATCTTCTGAGTGGGGCATTGGTGAGTGAATAGCCTGAGTGTTCTCTATGAGCTGAGGCGTCTTGAAGTGTTGTCTCGAGACTCTTACCTCAAACAGCTCGACACCAAATATTTTTGGTCTCGATACCGGCTTGAAATCTACCAAGATATATACTAGTGCTATAGAAGGATCAAGGAAGAGATAAAGACATTGTGCAAAGCTTGTTGTTTCGGTCTTGGCTCACAATTGCTCACTCAATTTTGTCAAGCCTATCTCGGGACGGGCAAGACAAGAGGAGACCGGTATCCTCATTTCACAAGACGAGACATGACTGGGGGTTAGTACCGTCTCTAACAGTTGTAGAGGCTATGAGTGAAAAGACGAGAATTGTGGAGTTCTTGTATTCCTAGGCATACTTACATGTAGGTATCAGATGGCATGTCAATGATTAAGGATACATAATCCAACCAATGAAACACGACAAACCCCAGTGGGCGTAGATTGGCTCTTGATACCTGCTGGATAAGGACTTCTCTTAGAGGTCAAGTCATCTTCGACTCATGTAATATCATCGCGATAGGCACTACATATTCATATCACTATCGAATTTATAGCGAGTAATACTTGTAATTATACAAGAAAACCCTAAACGTGCATTCCTGGACTTTGAACTGTTCCCAAGAAAATTCGCCTTCATATTTATTTGCAGTAGCTCGAAGGGACACGCACGTGTAAATAGAGAAAAACAACTATTGTATGGATCGATTAATATTCCCTCTAGTCAAAGCTAATACTCCCTCTAGTCAAAGCTTCCCCCCCCCCCCCCCCCATACTAACTCCGCCTGAAACCCATCCCACGACCTCCACACCTCTTCAGGCACGACAATACCTGTCTCTAAACTAGTAACCACCTGTTTCAAACGCATATCACTATCACTACTAACATCTTTCCGTAACCCCTCTTCAAATTTCGAAGCATCAAAAATCCTTGTTACACCCTTCTTAACACACCTATCTGTATTCTCTGGTCCTTTCCCGCTGCTACCGGGACCCATGCCTAGTCTGGTATCTCTTCCAATATAGTGAGGGTTTTCCACTGGGTCCGGGTTAAGAGATGTTGCGAATGGAGTAAAGACATCGATATGAAAGCTCTTGTTATTGCAGTGCACGTTCCTGAAAATAGCGTATGGTGCGCCTTTGGGCCTACCACTTCCCTTGATAGCTGGTAGGAGATGTACTTGGTCGGGTGAGGCCGGTAGGGCATACGTGTAATTGTTAACTTTCGTATTTTTTGCCATGTCACCGATTGTAGTATAGATATATTCGCGTGGGTCGGAATAGCTCAATTCACGAGCTTGGTTGATGAAAGGGCGGAGGGGAAAGCTTGATGTAAAGGTAAGACCACGCCGAGAACGGAGAAATATTTCGGTGATCCGGTCTATGTTCCCATGATAACTTAGAAACACAGGGTCGAATCCACTAAAGGAATTGTTTGCCTATTCAATGATTCAGAAAACACGATTGAAATACTTGGAGCGCTTGAGAATTTATCACTAACCATATCAGGGCCAATCCATCCGTGAATGTTATCGTGAGGCTGTTCGAATAGCCCGTCAAAGTCTGCCCGATAAGGATAGTCTTCGTCTGGTTGCTCTTCGTCGAAATCGGGGATATTTGCCCAAGGGGTCCCGTAAGGTAGCCCTTGCTCTTGCGTTATATTCATCGGCTGACTGTATATCTCTTGCTGTAAAGAGAATCCGATTTGTTCCTGATAAAGCTCAAACATTCTAACCTTGCGGTTCCACTCTTCACCGGCCTCTCTCGAATACAATATAGGGTCTCGCTCTACAAATCTATGTTTCTCTGTATCTGGATCATCGACGAGGGCCAGAGCGTATCTTAGAGGATTCGGTCTCGTCCCTTTCGTTGGATGTTCGTATTCTTCATCGCAGAACTCCTTCGGAAGTCCTGAAAACTCCGAGTTTGGGTCCTTGGCTTCGGTTGCGAGACCATTCCAGTAAGGGATAGGAAAGTCGATCAGTTCCTCAACGTATCGAAGGTAAGCCCTATGCCATAGGAATGTTGCCTCTTGGTAGTGCAGGCACCAGTTTGCATCTGCCCAAATTGTTTTAATTTAGCCATTACCTAGTATTGATCCTATTTGTGATTCGAACAACTTACGCAGAAATCCTAATTCTTGCCACTTGGATTTAACACGCCCAACCCCAAGTATATCTTCGAGCTTAGCTCGGTACGTCTGCAGTTCCTCTGGAGTCAAATTACGAATATCCTTTCTGTTCCTCCACGTCACTGGTGGATCTTGGGGCTCCGGAATGACGGTCTCACGGACAAAGGGGTCCATCGAGATTTTCCTGTACCCTTGATTTGCCCAGTGCCGAATGAGCTCGAGAGATTCTTCGGGGAAGTACTGAGACGGATCATCCGTGAGAGGCATGGTTTTAGATCGACAATGTTGGTAGATGGATGTGGCCTTTTTCTTGACATGATCGTAGTTTGACAGGTCGGTGGGTCCCCAGAATTTCATCATGGCGATCCATGAAGCTCCGATAGATTCGCGGGTATCTTCAGGAAGCCAGTATGGTGCACTGAATAACTTTGAAACATTGTCCTGCCATGTGGGTTCGATCTCGCCTGCTTTTTGGGTATCATCGTGTCCATTGTCGGCCAATGTAAGGCTCTTGAATCCTGGAGCCATTTATTTCTTAATAACGACAAGAGAAAATAGAACTAGTAACTGGTTGATGCAAGTAGTAAAAAAAAATAATCCTATTCAGAATGGACAAGATGATAGGACTCGAAACCATAAAGTAAATTGGAATTATTACTTATAAGTCCTTCTAAATCTGTATACTCCAAAGGCCGCACGAGAAAAACGAGATCAACGAGACAAGGGATAGTAGGATCTTCTTGCATTGCAATTGCTAATCAAACATACGTACCTAAGCATTAGTTAAAGGGCCAAAGATGTTTTCCGCGCACGGCTAGGAGCTCAGTTGGAAGGGAGCATAGAATGTAGTCTCTAGCATGTCGTGCGACAGGAGGATCATGTATGTTAAGATCGCCAGATCTAGACTGATCTACGTGAAGCGAAAGATAATGCATGCGCACGCGCGCGATATCTTTTCCAAAAACGGAGCGAGATTATGTATGACGAGAACGATTAGTTGGTCCGGCCGGTACAATCGTTTACCGTCGCTTGATGAATACTGCCAGTTGACGAACAGGGGACTTTGAGCCAATAGAAATTAAAAGAACTGGAGATCTCACAGCTTGCCATTCTTGGAACCCCTATTCGTCAAGTGGCAGTATTCGTCAAGAGATGGTAAACGACTGTAATGTTGAAGGCTGACCAACGCAGTTGCAGCGCTATAATATGACTAGGATTTCCTCGCAACTACTTAATTAACCGACACATAGCGTGGCAGTTAGCTGGTGAACTGTAGGATATCGATATCCATTCTATAACGGGTTGGACATCGATTCGGTACGTCATATTCCACCGAGGCATTTGCTTTGAGACAGCCTCAATCTGGCCAAGTTCGAACTAGAGATAGTTTCATTTCCAACCTCTTGATACGTGGTAAAGAGACGTCGATTATCAAAAATACTTTTACCTTCTCACCATCGAAGAAGCGATATACTCAGGTCACGCGCTGGTATCAGTCACTGTGTGTAGATATATCCCTCATAGTGAATATTGGGCGTTTTCGAGAGAGTTTTGACTCTGATTTAAGTTTATTCGTGATCATGAATCACTCAATTGAGCTATCAACGCAGTAAATCCGTAAAATTGAATACTCTCTTGCTTGTAGTGGATCACGGAATTGTGATATAAACACACTGCGAACTACATAGTAAATAATAGGTTGTTTATCAAGTTGTGAAGCATAGAACGATCTCAATAGACATGCTCATAACAGGATCTCGATATAAAAACTCAAAAATACGACGATTATTACAAATAGCTATAGCATGACCAAATGTCAACAGAATTCCTGTTACTAAGCCCTCAGAATCTCATGAGCAAAAACAGGTAATTTTAAATACTAACGAATAATCAGCGATGAATAATTGTTCCAGATCTCACTTTGGAAGCGAAAGGGTAACCGGATATCTTGTTGAAACGGCGAGGATCTTCACATGGGATATGTCTGAGAGGAAGGTCTGTTACGCATGGCCGCCCTGGGATAACTCTCATATATATACTAGTGCGAAAGCTGGGGCCTATAGGAATTAACTGTAGGTTGTCGCCCCGTAAGGTCGAAGTCCAGCTTTCGATAAAATTGACTCCCCGCTCGGGCATTTCTTGGGTAGTGCCGAACATAGTCATTTCAAGAGGTTTGGTTGGGGCGTAGTTCAGCGGATACGGCAACTCCTGCAATGGAAGTGGTTGAAAAACTCGCTGGCGGGACTCCGCAAGGGTCATGTATTCTACTAATCCCTCAGGAGTACTCAACCGTGATCATGACGCCACCGCCGTTAAGTACCTTGAGATATTGTTTCTGTGCACACTTGTCCGCACGTTTCGGAGCTGGAGGAATTGGTATTCCGGCATATTTTCATCATTGGCGTGTTTTGAAGCTTCAACTGCTTTGATGAGATTTGTTTCTAGGTCGTAACCAGTTGTATGTAGGGTTTCAAGCCGTAGCCGTTGGCACATATATATTGAATCAAGACTCCACGCCCCCCATAAGTAAATGAGGTTACAGGTATCAATCATAATGAGAGCGTTGAAGGTTACTTCGGAAAGAAGAGATACCGTGCTGTTGATGGATTGCATTTTCTACGCACCTTAGGCATCTTCCTATGATAGCTATAGGGCCACGAATAGTAAACCTTCTCCTCTTTTCATAGCAACAAAACTGAGCTGCAGCTGCTCGTGCTCGCCGGTTTCCTTCCCGCCACCAAGGGTACCTGCCGTTGCAACAAAATTTTCATATCTCGGGATAGCTTGATCGGTCATGTTCTCTTGTATAAGATGCAGCCTAAGTTCATCAATCGCCTTTTGGTAGTTTTCATCCGTGAAAGCTAGCTTTGGATACCCAGGCTAATATTGATGTCAGAAACTATTTCTCAGTGGACTCAGGACTCAGGACTTATAACTATGTGACTTTACCAGAAGGTCTGAAAAGCTGGATAGTTTGAGCATCATGTTGTTGATAAAATGACCTGTAGGTGCGAACCACACCGTACCAGGCAAGTTTGGGTTCACTGCGGTAACGGTGGTGTTGACAGTGGTGGTTAATAACACGTGGGACATCCACCGCTGGATAACTCTTGTGCTTGACGCAGCGTCTCCAGAAGGCTCCGGAAAATCGTTTCTTCAATGTTGAGTGTACTATGATCTGGTCACGCCATTTTGTATGGTTATTTGGAGTTGGTTTGCATCACCGACACCCGAAAAGAGATTGCCGTCGGGGGAGATATATGGTGCACTTACGAACGAAGCTTCCTCGGCATCACTGAAGCATTAATTGAAGTTCGGTTCTTGTACTGATTCCCATGGTATCAAGGCCTTTATCATACAATTGTTAGTTATACCATATTATTTCTGCGAAACATGGGCACGACTGACTTCTAGATTCTCTAGCTCCTTCATTACAAGAGCACCGTTGACATGCCCGTTAAAAGGCCCCAGATAAGATGTGTCTTCCTGGAATGCATGCGAGGAGCGACCCTGATAAATCCAAGCCGTCGGTTCTGTTTTCTGTGGGTAGCCCGGCTGAATTTCCTCCCTCTGAGATATAGTCAGTTTTGCATTTTCTTAAGAGAGCCATCGAGAGTCCAACTTACATTATAGTAACGATACTGCTTTATCGTTGTGTTCTAGCTCACTGTCTGTAAAAATCGATCATTAGTGTGAAAATCGTTGGATCCAACAATGAAGATAGTCCATGAATTCCCGCTATTACCAGATGGTTGAACTACAGCAATGAAACGGACATGAGGATTGAACCAGTTCCTGGGATTTGTCGGTTCCGGATGTGGTATGAAGGCTCCGTCTACGTATAATCCTCCAGATACATGACCTCTTTCGGCCACAAGAATATTATGAACTGATATATATGTATGTTTAGATTGGAGCTGGCATCAATAAACTTGCTCGCGAGGGTAACAGTGCCTCGATCGACCAAAGATCTTGTTGCGCTTTATATCCAAGACTTCGACACTAGTTCACTTGTCCTGGTTAAGTCTGAAGACAACCAAATTTCTCTTCCCGACGGTATCATCACCTGGGTTCGTGGTGCGCCACCAATGGGTCTCCGCCCTCACGTTCAGATCCCAGAGGGTATGTTGAACGATGCAGGTATTCAGATGACTGTAAGCGATATCTACGATACTCAAACACAAAATCCCATTACATATGGAGCGCAATTTGCAGATTACATCACTATGGGTGTTTCTGGGGTAGTTATTTATGATCAACGATGTTGCAGTAGCTGATTCAATCACCTTCCTATGTGCTAGCATGCCAAACTTGCGGGATACCATGCCTAGAAAGGGAACATTTGACGGAATTATCAGGGATTCACGGGGTCTGGAGCAATTAACATAGGCTCCCGGTGTGCGGGTTCAGAGTTCGTTGATATTTTCAAACTAGCTACTAGGTCCCTAGAACCCCATAGTTATAACTTTATTATATTTAGGTTATTCATGCGAAACTACGCTTTAAGGAGAATTGTCATTTCAGAGTCAGAACCTTATCTTCCCAAAACTGTGTACCGACGGATAATTTTGGTACCTAGGGACATATCCAAGTAATATCTAGAGCCAGGAAAATACCAAGAATCGGACTGTCAACATCCTGATAATCAGGTCTACAATAAACACCGTGTGTATCATATACGGCGACCCGAAAGCCATAGTCTTAAGTTATGATAGCTTAACGTCTGCAGATCGGCTCAATTACAGTTATGGGGTACATCAGAGCCCCAGAGAGATTTTCTGGGTAGAACGTTAGAGTTCTTTACGTATGCTGTATGTGTGATCCTGGTTCAATTAACTCTCGCGATGTTTTCCTTTATGTAATAGGAAATGTGGCGTTTAAGGTGATAAGGTCACGGTGTTAAGTAGATGTCCTCTTAGGACCTTCTACAAAAGACCTTGGCACTATAGAAGATATATAATGATGATAGGCGAAGCTTAGATCCTTGAATATCCGCTGATTCGTCTCGTTTCGCCCAACCTCTCTCAACACGAGTGATGGATTATGACTCGAGTGACAAAGCATGATCGAGTGACAGTTTGTGAACACAAAATAAACAATGCGTGTCCGCAGATTGTGAAATTTGCTATAACTAAGACCACGCTCTTTGATAGTAAGCTATCAGAACGGCTCTAGACTACCTGTATATTAGTGCTATGTGACTACATCATATTCGTAAATTATGATGTTTTTGAATTCAACACAACTAGGTCTGCTGCCTGCATCAAGTACAATTAACCAGGTATGGGGTCTTATGCAATATTTTACCTATATGCAGATCCATTCCACAAATTCACGAGTATTATGATGACCGTGGCGCAGCTATCAAGAGACCACGTGTGATTCTCAGCCCACGCGTGCCGTAAGGAACCAACCAGTAAAGGATTTTACAGCCAGCAGCGAATTTAGGCGTCTTGAAAGAATGCCTAGAGCGGGGTTCCGGTTTTCATGATACTGATGTGGCACATAAGTTGTCGCGATGGACAATCTTTTAAGTTTAGATAGTTGCGATCTACGAGTCAAGCGCAAACTGTCTCGATATCTCGACTTGAGTTCTTATATTTAACCTCACAAGCTTATGTAGATGTTAAATACCCTGAGACGGGCTGGGCCAAGCCGTTTCATATTTCAGGCTCAACTTGGGTAGCTTGAGATATTTCTTTACAACTTTTTTTGTGTGTTATATATAATTGGTTACAATACGCTCCCGAATCTCTTCTCTATAGGTTCTATCCTGGCATTTCTAGCTCACATTAAGTGTTTATGACTATCTCCTCGAGCCTAAGCCTCTCATTGTTGCTTCCATGTTCAAGCGATAAATCTGTATCGATTTCAGTTGCATAGCCGGTTTCTGAGACGCAAAAGCGGACAGTTGAAGGGTGCCAATGCTACATCTAAAGCACTCGGTCTGTGAGGCCCGCGAGTGACAGAATATTAGCAACGTCTACCAGTAACATGTGGGACCAATCGGTTGCTTACGGAGTTTGCTCTTAGCGGTGAAATATGATTTTGTATACGTGAAACCGGCGGAAGGTTTTCAGGTCAGAAATTTCAAGAAATGTAGGTTCTTCGTCAGGTTTTGCGTCGACACCGCTGCCGTCAAATTCACAGTCACTTGTGATGGAGTCATCGTTTACCGGTTGATCAATCTGCTGTCTTGACGTGGTCTTGAGCACCGCTTCGCATTCGGGGCTATATCGCGGATCATGCATCAGCGTTACATCTATATCACAGTTACATGTATAGAAAGGTCGCTTACCAACGCAGCTGTTGAAGATCATTAGCTTTCACTCCACAATGTGTTGTGTCACATGATGGACAGTTGTTGTTCTCTTCGGTGTCCTCAACTTCGATTTCGAGTATCATGGCCATGGAAAGCGTCATCCCTGGACTGATGAGTGTATCCCACTCCTTTGCATTCAACACAACTCCTGTGGTCTCATCCGATATCTCGTATTGTCCGGCATTCACCCAGCCCTTCCCACTCGAGTCTTTAAGATTAAATTTTACAAGATCGTGGAAGTCCTGTCAAAGAGCAGTAGAGTAAGAAGCTATAACAAGACACGATAGAAGCTGATTATAAGTATCATACCTCCCACCTTTTGCACATTTCAAAGTCAAAAACCCGCTGTCTATCGAATGCGTCTATAAAATAGATGACTTCGAAATCGAGCAGTTGTTTTGGGGCGGCAGGACCATCGATATCCTGGATCGTATTTCTTCGGAGGCCATAGAAGTCAGTAAACACAATGGCTATGGTAATGTAGGGGAAAGCGGAAAGGATGATTACGAGTTGCACTCTTGCAGGAGAAGTTCTAAGAACATTATCTTCTTCCTAAGGTCATCCAGCGTCTCCCTCATGTTCCCTTCCTTGCAAGCTACTTCATCCCGATCTGGAAGGCTCCTATTCAAGCCTGGTTTTAAGGGGACCGGGATTCTTCTGTCGAGGGATTTTCTTTTTATCTCCCCTACACTCCGAACAACATTGAAGGCGTCAATTGCAAGCTGCTGCTTCTCAACGGATTCAATAGCCATTTGAGACAACTTTAGATCGATGGTCAACCGTTTAGCATTTGCCAGTGCTAGACGAAACTTCCCGAGTTGTTGGGCAAGCTCAGCTCGTTCAGCCCTGGAACCATTGATCTCCGAGCTCGACTTAAAGATGTTTCCGATAGCTGCGATAAGTTCTCCGATATTGAATCCGAACGACATGGTAAGTGTTTTCAAAGGCAGAGGGGGTATGGTGATATTTTGGCACGATAAAAGCCATCAGTGCCCGTTTTATATAAATTCAGGTTAAGGCTTGAGGCTGTGGTTTATACTTCAAGAATTCGGTGTCCTTCCGAGCTGTGTAGCCTATTGTATAGTATAGAGGCGTAAAGGCTAGGCGGGTGCAGGGATTAGACCGCGCACCGGGCTATAGTCAGCTCAATCGTGAGAACTGAAGCATATCTCAGCCCCAGGATGCGAAGGGTACCTAGGTACTTATGACTTGAGTTCAGATGTACCGGGTATTGAGGGTAAGTGATAAGTGAATACTACGATAAATACGTTTGTCTTTCTTATCAGATTCTGATCGCTTTTCGCTACACCCTAGTAGGTACACTACACTATCAGAAATGGGGGTAAAACTGATACCTCATCAGTACGGCATTGTGAGAATATGCCGCTTATCTCCGTATTTTGACGAAGTAAACGGTAGTGTTACCGCAGTGGTACGGCATTGCCAAAGACTGCGGTAGTCATTTTATCCATGTTTCTGTCACTGTACCTTTAACGGTCGCTAGACGCGCTCACTGGGCCCGGGGGTGTGATTGGGTACTAAACCCAATTTATACACAGATATAATTCAAGAGGATGAATTGTTCGTATCCCATGGGCTGGTCTACCTTAAAATGCCCCGATTAATACTTAGTTTTGCAGTTGTCGGCCTGAATGAGTTGCCCTGTTGGTCGTATGGACGCCGTTGCCTTGGGCGTCACTTGCTTGGGGGCAGCAAGGATGATAGACGCGGGCCCGACCCCATCACGCGTCTCCCACTGGTACACTGCACGTCGTATGAGTCCAGTGGTCTTGTAGTTAATGTTCGATGGTAAAGGGCTTGCTTGTCTGTTGGTACCAAGGTAAACCTTTAGTAAATATGTGCATGTGAGAGCTCTACTAATATGTGGCACAAACTCTCAAGCCAGAAATGATGCGGGGATCGATTTTTGTGGGATTGACGAGCTTGGGCTATCTTTATGTGAGAAGGAACTACATGTACATGTAGTTGCTGGAATGACTGGAATTCTGGCTGTAGCGTCAGTCTCGTTCGTATTTCAAACATGATGTATGTACATGCTGTCTACAAACGCCAGCAACAACAATACAAAAGGCCACTATATGTACAGCCACTCTGCAAAAGTGTGTCTCACTCCGAAATCGGAATCACGAACACTTTTGCAGAGTGGCTGTATGTACCTACTTACATAATGCTAAAGGGAGAGAGAGGTGAGATACCCTGCTTGCGGTCTCGCATAAAACAGAAAGAGCCTGTCGATCGCATTCAACACCGATGAGTGTTAGGCGGTCATGAACACGAAACGTGGAGGCCGTATCGGTACGTTCTCTTAGACAGTATTAATATTATACACGATCATACGTTCTATTGAACAGATACCTGGCGGATATCTCTAGTTAAATCGCAATACGGCATCTACTCCATATGCACACACCACCACTAACATCGGCCTCGGAAAACGACACGCCGTAGCATCAACGAGTGATGTTATGTGCATAAGCCTGGTTATGCCAAGACGGTACTCGGACGTCAATTGAGACTCGGGTCGGAATGGTTGCTGCAGAAAGTCTTGTAGTCACGTGCAGGAGCAGAAAGAGCCTCCGTTCTATTCGAATGGGATGACTAATGACAAGTTTTGTTTCTATCGCAGAGTTCAGGTCGTCTGGAGGATGAGAGGTGTGAGTTCAAGGGAAATCTCGACAGCTCTCCCTAAAATGCCTCTAGTACCCAAGTGGAATTTCCCCCCTTATCAGCCACAGTGATGGAAGGTTCTACTCCTTCGAACTGTGGGGAAGCAGCTTTATCCGAGCCGATTGATGCACATCAAATCTGAAATCTCTGCTTGCCGCCACCTTGTCCTTTATGCTACATACCTACATGTACTTGTACCTTCATAATATGTAGGTACATGCTCCGATTAGTAGATTAGGTAGAGTAAAGACCTCCTTTCAGGTGTCAAGCTACCTAGGATAAGGGTTTTTTTTTTTCTTTTTGGTTGAGTTTTCGGGCTCTCGGCCGCAAACATAATAAATTTGAGCCACAGTTCTCACCGCCACGGGAGCCTGCCACACGCTACGCCACGCATTGGTCGCACGCCTTCGTGTCCTTTTCAGAATCTCCAACTACCTATCTAGCCCTCATCTCTTCCTTCCATCCTCAACCTCCTCCATCACACACACATCGCCTCGTCGAGCCCATCAATACCTAGTTCAAACACCATCACACACATCCAACATGAACCCTCAAATGTGAGTTTCTATCTTCAGGGCGCTGTTTCCCTTCACTGCTAATAATCGGCTTTGTCGCAATGCAGAACCAACCTTGTTGTGATCCTGGGGATGATGCAGGTATCGAAGAAGATTCCCTTCGAGGACCCAACATGGCTCAACGGTATCAGGGGGATGTATCTCCTCTCCAACCTGATTATCCTGGGTCTGTACGTCTACGTCGGAACGGTTATCAAGAAGAAAAATGGTTCGTACGCTCGATTTGCTTATCGCCCCCGTTAAAATGCAAAGCTCGAGCCTTGTTCCACCTTGCTGCAAGAATTTTTCTGCGGTCTGATCGCAAGATTTGGACCCTGTTCTTTCTTCATATGCGAGCACATTTGATCAGCTTGACCTACTTCTCATTTATTGAAATCACTAGCGAGATCCAAACTAACAACTTTCCTCGCAGATAATACCACGCTGAAATACGTTGAACCTGCCCCGCCAATGTCAGGCGAGGAACCCAAGCTCACCACCACAACCATCGGTGCTTATGATCAGACTCAGCTGCGCGCAGCCTACAAGGCTGTCTTGATGGGCGTTGGAATGATGGCTGTCATGCACATCTACTTCAAGTACACAAACCCTCTATTGATCCAGAGTAGGTTCCACCGTTCCAGCCATTTACTAGTTCCTGGTATTAACTGTTTTTAGGCATTATCCCTCTCAAGGGTGCATTCGAATCCAAGCTCGTCCAGATTCACATCTTCGGAAAGCCTGCCAGCGGAGACCTCAAGCGCCCATGGAAGGCGGCCGGTTTCATGCAGGGAATGCAGGGCGGCGATGTCAAGTCAGACAAGAAGGCCGTTGAGGAGGCTGAGAGAGCCGGACGCGGAGGCGCCAAGGAGGAGTAGAATGTTATTTATTCTTTTCTTTTCTTGTATAGAGATTGTTGGGGTCATTTTTTGTTACCTGCAGACTTTGAGTCTTGAGCAGATGTGTGAAAAACGAATATTTAATGTTTCTGATCGGGCGCGATTTGTTTGGGATAGGGTTTAAAATCATGGGAACTTTTGACAATTGTGACGTGCGAGCATGCATATAACGAATGAAAGTAAACACAAAGTAATATAAAGGGGTAGACTCCGGTTCGAATCATTAGGGCCCTGCATCTAGTATCCCAACGGTTTTCGAATGTGTTTAGCAAATGTTGCAATGTTGGGAGAGTGATCTCTATCTTCCAGTCCCTGCCAGCCTGCTACATCGTCCTGTTGCCTTTATTCATAATTTAAAGTATAGATTCCGCGAAGGTTCTCTCCCGTGCATTATCTGCTATCAAACCAAAGAAGAGTGATTTACCATCTAAGTAATAGCCAAGGTTTCCAGGGTCAGGGTTATTCAATAGGTGTATTGTACCCAGATAGGCATAGTCCCCAATCAGAAGATCCCATATTAGGACACTACTATGTATCCTCGTTGGTGATCTGATATTAGATTCCCATGCATATATAGCAGACAATTTTATCGGACTCATGATGCTAACAAACAATTCCCCATTTCCATTTTTATCCATTGGCCTGTCGGTGGACTACTGGCCTCCTGAGAGGTACGATTGAATTCGTGGCTTGCGGAAGATGATACCTAGAGCAACTGCAATAATCTGGGCCACCGTTTCTTAGCTGGGCTGTCAACTGCTAATGCCTTTACGTGGGGGCCATAGGATCGGGTAGGGCGTTTGGTGAGAGATTGACTCAGATCCAATTAATGGGGATGATAAGGATTTGTGCACTAGCCACCTCTTTTTGCTTCTTTAACCCCCCCCCCCCCCAAACTGTGGAAGGAGTCTCTGGTGGCGTATTAAGTTATAGCTGATCGTAGACAGGGCCAAGCTGTGGCTACTAAGCCAATTGGTTATGGCGGGTTCGGTCGTGAGAGTCATGAGAGATCACTCGGTTTTGATGGCCCCGGGGTCCTTGTATGTATTTATTAGGCTGGACTCATGTATGGTGCAAAATTGTATATTCATTGGGTACTTGGTTACGGGCCAAGCGCTTACGTAGGTTTTGCCGCTAGCGCCCTTAAGCCTTACGAACATGACTGGTTCGACATATTGATCCAGAACCATGTGTGCTTCGACTAGTTCATAATTCGGAGTCTTATGCCTTGGCCAGCTGGTGAAACTTGCAGATTTACCAAGCCAAGGGATAGCGATACTATTATACAAACACCAAGAAACCTACGCTTTGATGACGCGTTAAGTTTTGGGGGCCAATAAGTTCTTTCCTTTACAGCTTTCGAATTCTTGTTGTGGTGAACACTATCTAAGAGTATCGCTCTAGGGCGTACCAACATCTTAGACCGAATTATTCATGCTCTTTTACCCTTATATTTAATACTCGTTGTATCATGAGAGAGTCAATTGCAATATTATATTCGATCACCCGGTTGCCCACTGGTAATCACGGCGCGAAGCACCTGAGTATATATCACCGGCAGGGCAATAATTCACTACCAACTAGCTATTGACCTAACCAATCAATCTACGTCAAGAGACGGTGAACGACTGTACCAACCAGCTGGTGATATCAAGTATTTAGACTTAGCACCACTCCCGACTGCATATACAGATCCTTGGTTTCCTTGAGAGCCCATCCCCCCACAAAAGGCATTCGGTTTACCATGGGCCGCATCATCTGAATCCGAACATGGGAGGAGGTAATTTA